AATTCCGACTGCAAATTTTCGAAAATATTTGAGAACAAAGTGTGTTTACATCAAAAAATGTAAATAAACATTGGAAACCATAATAAACAATCAAAAAAATGTAAACAAACGTTGGAAACAAAAATAAACAGACCAATGTCTGCAAACAAAGTGAAATTTCAAAGTTTTCGGAATTCCGACTGCAAATTTTCGAAAATATTTGAGAACAAAATGTGTTAAGAGCAAATAAATGTAAATAAACACTGGAAACCGAAACAAACAGTCCAAGGAAATTTTCGAAAATTTGCAATCGAAATTCAGAAAACTTTGAAATTTCACTTTGATTGCAAACATTGGTCTGTTTATTATGGTTTGCAATGTTTATTTACATTCTTTGGACTGTTTGTTTTGGTTTCCAGTGTTTATTTACATTTTTTTGGTTTAAACACACTTTGTTCTAAAATATTTTCGAAAATTTGCAGTCGGAATTCCGAAAACTTTGAAATTTCGCTTTGTTTGCAAACATTGGTCTGTTTATTTTGGTTTCCAATGTTTATTTACATTTTGTTTATTGTTTATTATGGTTTCCAATGTTTATTTACATTTTCTTGAAGTAAACACACTTTGTTCTCAAATATTTTCGAAAATTTGCAATCGGAATTTCGAAAACTTTGAAATTTCGCTTTGATTTCGTATATATCTGTCTTTGTCGCACTGTATTGCTCTCTTTGTCTATCGCGCATGTAGGTCTGTCCTTTTCTCGCACTGTTTACTCTCCTTGTCTATCGCGCAAATATCTCTGTCCTTGTCAGACACTACTGTCCTCTTTGTCTAACGACGCTAGACAAGGAAAGCAACAGTGTGCGTCAAGGACATTCTTCGATGTATTGAAAAAAAATTCATCTTTTTACACACACGTTTCTCTAGGACAAAACACCCACAGAAAGAAAGCAGGGAGTCCAATTTTAAGGAGACATATAAAAAAGTTTGCAAAATACTCCTCTTAATTAAGTTTTTTCGTAATTAGTGCGAACTGTCACAAAATGGACATGATGGCGCCATCTAGCGGTGACTCGGTGGTACTAATTATTTATAAAAATACTTATTTCTGCATTTTACGGGACAAATGGGGTATGGAAAGAAAGCTAAGGGTCTAATTAGGGTAATACAATCGCCAAAGTTCAAAATTCGATACGCTAAATTAGGTTTATTCGCTTATGAAAATTCCTCTGCTTTACGGGGTAAGACACACTAGCGCCACGGTGTGGCAGAACGGTGGAACTAAACGCCCCATTACCATATAAGGAAAATGATTAATTTTAATTTTTCATGACACAAATTTGCACTCCACGAGCATATATTTCGATGATACTGCTATCAATTACGTTTGCAAAGAAATATGAATCTAATATTCACTATAATGTGCGCTAAATTATGCACTCACCACTGGCACTACTACTAACGTAAAGGAAATTGAAGCATTCCTTATATACGTAAACTATACTTAAACAAAACATAGAACGCAAGCTAGGGGCCTCTAAAATCAAAGACGCAACCATAACAATTCACAAATGATTCATTTCAATAAATTTCTTCTCGTAATTTGTAGGAAATCAGTCACCTGTCAATGTTCGAGGAGACTATGGCTCCATCTATTGAAAACTCGGTGGTATTAAAGTTAGTAAAGTCTGTTTTTAGTACCACCGAGTTTTCAATAGATGGCGCCATAGTCTCCTCGAAACATTGGTACGTGACTGATTTCCCACAAATTACGAGAAGAAATTTATTGAAAGGAATCATTTGTGAATTGTTATGGTTGCGTCTTTGATTTTAGAGGCCCTTAGCTTGCGTTCTATGTTTTGTTTAAGTATAGTTTACGTATATAAGGAATGCTTCAATTTCCTTTACGTTAGTAGTAGTGCCAGTGGTGAGTGCATAATTTAGCGCACATTATAGTGAATATTAGATTCATATTTCTTTGCAAACGTAATTGATAGCAGTATCATCGAAATATATGCTCGTGGAGTGCAAATTTGTGTCATGAAAAATTAAAATTAATCATTTTCCTTATATGGTAATGAAGCGTTTAGTTCCACCATTCTGCCACAACGCGGCGCTAGTGTTTCTTACCCCGTTAACCAGAGGAATTTTCATAAGCGAATAAACCTAATTTAGCGTATCGAATTTTGAACTTTGGCGATTGTATTACCCTAATTAGACCCTTAGCTTTCTTTCCATACCCCATTTGTCCCGTAAAATGCAGAAATAAGTATTTTTATAAATAATTAGTACCACCGAGTCACCGCTAGATGGCGCCATCATGTCCATTTTGTGACAGTTCACACTAATTACGAAAAAACTTAATTAAGAGGAGTATTTTGCAAACTTTTTTATATGTCTCCTTAAAATTAGACTCCCTGCTTTCTTTATGCGGGTGTTTTGTCCTAGAGAAACGTGTGTGTAAAAAGATGAATTTTTTTTCAATACATCGAAGGATGTCCTTGTCGCACACTGTGCTTTCCTTGTCTAGCGTCGTTAGACAAAGATGGCAGTAGTGTCTGACAAGGACAGACATATTTGTGCGATAGATAAGGAGGGTAACAGTGTGAGACAAGGACAGATCTTTGTGCGCGGTAGATAAGGAGATCTTCAGCGTGCGACAAGGATAGACACAAATGCGCGTTAGACAAGGTGAGCATTAGCGTTTGACAAGGACAGTTATAAATGCGCGGTAAAGGAGAGCGATTGTTTTCGACAAATAAGATTCTTGAGATTATTGAGTTGTTACAGTTAAATTCTATAAAAATATATGTAATTTTATACAAAATATAAAAATAATAATATATCAAATTTAACGATTTGTTTTGTTTTGGGGATTACGAGAGAAATGATTGTAATTATAGAAGATGAGAAACTATTTTTTTTATAGAAAAAATCATTTATGGCGATTCACTTGATTGCTATTTTATGTCTAAACGAGTCAAATATGTTTCAGTGCGTTTGTGGTATTAATAAAAGTAACAGGGTTTAATGTTATTTAGATACACTACTGGTATCAGCAGCCACGTGTACTACTGCTCAACCAATTCATAAACTATGGACAATAACAAGTTAATCATTTCATCATAAACTCCCTCGTTCGTTTATCTGAGTTTCAAAAAATCTTGTTACTATCAACATAAAATGGCTACCACAAGAGTTCGACAAATTCTGTTCAATAAAGGATTACAAATTGGTTGGAAACCGCAGTATTTCACGTCAAATGTGAAATATTATTGTTGTGAGTACAGTATTACGGATTCATAAGAAAAAGGAAAGACTTATTGATATGATTTGTAGTACATTTACGCTTATACAAATCCCTATGGTTATTATAATTATTATTATAATAATTTTAGTTTATGAAATATTGATTTAATCTTATTCAAGTATCGAGTTGGTCAGATATGTAAAGGCTCATTGTAAGCAATGAAAAATGGAAAATAACATAAGTGGAATATAGTCGGCTATAGTAAAGATTTCAAATTCCATGTGTTGCTATATTAGGTATATAAATAAATTCTTGTGGTCAATGTTAGATGTCGTTAATGATGTTCAGCTGTTTTTTTTTTTTTTTTTTTTTTTTTTTTTTTTTTTTTTTTTTTTTTTAATTAAGAGTAATGTATTATAGTAATTTATATTTTAAATTACATTTTATACGAAATTAAGAAAATGACCAACTGTAGATTCACTATCAAAATGAAAAATCATCAAAATATCTACGTGAATGAGATTACATTTTGGACACTCATATTCCAATGACCTTGAAATATATTGTCAATGTCAACATCTTAAATAATTTCATGTACATGCTCTAAATCGAGAGATATATATAAAGGTAGTTTAATTAAATAGAATATTTTAACCTTTTAAGAACAGGATATTTAAATCCCCCTTCGCTAGTGGATTTAAATCGCCAAACGAAGTTTAATTTTACATGTTTTCATATAAATTATTGTAGTTCCTATATTTTTAAAGTTAATCAAATCAAATAAAGACTCAAGCTACTCAAAACAGAAGAGAGAGACCGTTGAACATTCGGCTTTCTCAATATTATATAGGTGTCGATACATCAGACGTTAGTACTTAGAAGGTTAATGTAATCTTTTTGTAGGTCAGGTACAACAGAATTATGAGTTCATCAAGGTAGAAACTGCTGGCGACAAGAAAAATGTTGGTTTGATTACGTTGAACAGACCAAAGGCTTTGAATGCTCTTTGTAACAAATTGATGACTGAATTAAACGATGCTGTGACAAAACTTGATACAGATGACAGTGTCAGTGCTATAGTCCTTACTGGCAGCGAAAAAGCATTTGCAGCTGGTAAAACACGTTTCCTACTATAATTTAAATCATAATTTCTATTGTAACATTCATTAAAGTCTAAACTTTTCTTTTAGGAGCTGATATCAAGGAAATGCAAAATAACAGCTATTCGCAAACTATTAGAGGAAATTTCCTCGCTCACTGGGACGGCATTACACGAATTTCAAAACCTGTGATTGCCGCGGTAAATGGATATGCTGTAAGTTGCAATTTGTAAGGAAATACATACTCTCTTTATTTTGTAAAATGCCCTATTAAAAATTTTATGTATTAGAATCCACATAGTAGATTGGTTCATATAAGGTGTCGGTTTTTGGGAGTTTGAATTTGACGAGTTAAATTTCTTCAGTTACAGCTTACTTATTAAATTGTATGTATATTTTTATAAACAGTTAGGCGGAGGCTGTGAATTGGCAATGATGTGTGATATCATCTATGCCGGAGATAAGGCAAGATTTGGCCAACCAGAAATAATCATTGGTACCATACCTGGTGCAGGTGGTACTCAAAGATTAACTAGAGTTATTGGCAAAAGTAAAGCGATGGAAATGGTACTAACAGGAAGTCAAATCACTGCTGAAGAGGCAGAGAAGAGCGGTAAGAAAGAAAAGGAAATTATAAACAGTACAAGAATATTATTGTCTATATCTAGATATATTTTATTGTAGGTTTGGTTAGCAAAGTCTTTCCAGCAGATAAGCTTGTTGCTGAAGCAATCAAACTGGGTGAAGTGATTTCTTCTCACTCTCAGTTAATTGTTGCCATGGCCAAGGAATCTGTTAATACTGGTAATCATTAAAATTATGTAGCAATCATTTTTATTCATTTATTCAAATATTCGTTTTTTTTCTCGCTAGCATATGAAACTACCTTGAGGGAAGGACTCCACTTTGAAAAGAGAATGTTCCATGGAACATTTGCAACTGTAAGATGTCTTTTTTAGAAGTATGTAAATTTAAAATATATGTTTAATTGCATATAATTAAAATTTCAGGCTGATAGAAAGGAAGGAATGACTGCTTTTATTGAAAAAAGACCACCCAAGTTTAACAATCAATAAAAGGTATTTACATAATCTTTATTCTAGTATATGTCTACAACCAAGTACCTATTTTTATACATCTTGAATATTTTTGATATTTGTTATGAGGGAGGATGTTGTTTTAATAAACATTATATTTTTTATTTTTAAGCAAAACAACGACCAAATATATTCATGGAGAACTTTTATTTAATAGCTACCTTTACATCTAATATCATGATTCTTGAGTGTGATACAATTAACAGTTCATACCAGGTAAATTAATAGTTATCCTGATGCTCTTGTAGAAGCACAGGTATTCTGTCGATGTCGTAAAAGATATCCAAGAACGATAGGAACAATGGAATTTTACACCAACATCGTTATACAATAAATATCAAACTTTATAATAAGATGTATATCTCGCTTATTATTTGGAAATCTTCATAATTCTGTTTTCAGATTTTCTCGGAGAATCGAAGTGATATAAAAAAATGCTCCCCTTTTTTTTCAGTCCAAAAAGATAATTTTAAATTTTTCATTAAAACTTTTTTTCTTCCAAAGAAATATAAACAATTTGATTTTCATATTAAAATATGTATGTGTATAGTTACTTCTAAACATTTTGTGCATAATAAATACCTATGTATCAAATTTGCAGAAAAAACAGCAGTATCAAATCGCAACGAATTCGTTTGAGAATACTTTCGTGTGTCGATCCTCTTGCAAAACCTGCTTGACTAGCTAACACTAACAATGTACAGGTATGATTGAAAGAGCTGTGCATACACGTTATTTCCATCTGGTTTTCATCGTCCTTATCTTAGAAATTATACATATAAAAAAAAGGAAATAATTCAAACTAGCTACCCTTATACTCTAAGATATTTTCGCTGCATTTCTTAATTAATTAATTGTCACTTTAAGTACACACCAAAAGGGGATTTCGTGTAACATTATGGGGATTCATAGGATCCCAGAAAAGTTTCAGTAGCTATTTGTAACACTGTGAATCATTTACAATGTTTTCAAAAAGCTTCAGCCAAAAAAGCGTCCCTAAAAGGAACTCCAAAAATATTGTTTTGATATGTAAAATTGTAATTTTCGGTTATGAAAATTTGTTCTTTTTCAATTTTTCTTTTTCTTTTCTAGATCACTGGCCCCGTGTTCTTACAATTAGACTTGGGCCTTCTTGCACAATCATTTATTAATTAATAATATTCGCGAATTATTAAGTTCACAATTTAAAATTACCAAAATGTTTCTTTATTTAATTATGAAAGAGCTTAAATTTATCTTATGAACTTGATCTTTAAAACTTCATATGTCTTATATGTCTCGTTATAGTTGTACGAGTGGAACGTACCATACCAATAACTTAATTTCCAAAATTTCACTGTGATATTAGTTTCATTGTGCAAGAGAACCCTGGAAACTTCTCGAGATCCTGTGTAAAAAAAACTTGGAAAAGTGTCTCTCTTGTATATATATCACAGTTGCAAGCTCTGCTCGAATAACTAAGTTGATATAGTAACAGAAATGGAAATTAAATTGGTGGTGATCGACGTTTGTCCGGGGGATTTACCGCTTGTTACGACTCTTCATGGTGAACCGTCTCCAAAAATTGCCGCTCTTTTTCGACGGCGTTGCAACTGGCGTATCATAAGGGTAACTAGATTCGTCATCCGTGTCCTGTGCATTGTGAGTTTCCCTAGTGGGGGAGCCACCATGTCCAGAGTCTCTGTCTCCATCACCAGAGTTCTTTTCCAAACCTGAAATACAAATATATTAGCATTTATTACTTTTTAAGTCTCCAAGGACTTATCATTCCACAATTAAATGATTTTTTAAAAATATGACTTCTGAATATTGATAAGCATATGAATAATTACGTTGTCAATTACGTCGTAATAAATGAATATACTTCATAAATATTCAGTTAATATTAATGAGTTGATTATAAATTTGATGGTATTAATATTGCTAGAAAATACACCAATGAGCAAAAGTATTGGTACAGATCATTTTTAACATGAAATTAAGATAAGAAATATGTTTCTTCCTTAGAATTTTACTTCAAAATATATTAACGCGTAACTGTTATTTGGCAATTGGAGACATTTTTTATTTAAATTAGTTAATTTTGAAATTTATTTAATTGAATTTAATTACTCAATGATACTATTTAAGAGATAATAATAAAAAAAATAAATATGTAAGATGTAAAAATATAATTTGTACCAATACAGATTCATAATTGTATTTTCTTATATTGAATCACATTCAATATAAAAAATGTATTTTTCAGATCCCAAATCAATCCCAAAAACGAATATGAGAATGAAGTTTTTTTTAGAAAAGAAGTTCTACTACCTCCAGCACGAAGCATGTCGAGAAATGTGTTCTCTGCGTTGCCACGTGTGCGTCCCTGTTTCTGTGATGGTGTCCCAAAGCTCAGACTCTGAATATTGATCTCCGCCTTCAGCTGTTCTGGTGGTATATCGTCCACCCGGAACTCGTTCGGATCCTCGACGAACGCCTGCTGCAGATCTCGCATGATCTTCTTGCGGATGGTCTTCTTCATGGACAGGTGTCTCTCCAGGTGTTTCACGTCGCTTTCCGTTAAAGTTTTGCTATTATCGCGACGACGTGACTTCTTCTTCTTGCTGTTCTTAGGACTCTCTTCTTCACCAGAGGTTGAGCCGACGGATACTGCGCTGTCGTGTCCTGGTGCTTTCTCTTCTGCTTGGAGACGCGTGTTCTCCCATTTGTTACCAAATCCGAAGATATCTCGGAGATGAGGAATATTTCTGTCGGCTGTCTGTTGCCTTGCCATTATTCTTGTTCAGATTTTGATTCAAGAGCTATGGTTCAATTTGTATTACTGATCTGAAAAAGAAATTTGGTATTTAAATATTATATATCCATTAATTAATTTATAACATGTTGGTTAACATTGGATTTATAAAATATTAAAAAACAATGTTATTAACCCTTGAGTGATATCATTGGACATTGATCATCAAAATAATAATTTTAATAAATGTAATAATAATTATTGCAAATATCTATAATCCAGCGATATTACAAGGATTAACAGCAATCAGCAGAATAGTAACATTCAAATCTGGCGCCTAAAAATTGGCGCGCATCACTGCAATCGAAATTTCAAATTTTTAATCATATCAATTTCAATGAGAAATCCTTACAGATCTATTTAAGTATTTCTTTATTTTCAGACCAGACAATTTTAATCAATAATTTAAAGTCTTATAAAGAAAAGTTTTTAAATTAAAAAATAGACGAATATTTGACATCAGCAGTAATGGCGTCGAATACGAATTCAGCATCACCACGCTTCTGCGTTTGTGAGTATTTTTCTCAATTTAAAAAGTTTATATTTATTTATATTCTTGCGTTTAAAAATTTACCTTAATCTTAAAAATATGTGTGGTACAGTACTTCAATTAAGAAAACTGTATATTTAGAAGTAACGATCGTTATCACGCTGGTCGTTTACGCGTAGAATTACACGTAAAATGTAAGTATCGTAAACTGTTACCGATAATAATTAAACGTACAGCGCAAGCGGTTTTTCAGGCGCTGTTAAATTGCACGGCTTATCAAAAAAATCCGCTGCTTTGAGCTTTAACGCACGACGACGTATTCCCGTTACCGTAAATACAGATCGTATATAACGCATTTCCTTTTTCCTTTATAGGAGACGGATACGTGGGACTTTAAATCTCTGGCGAAGAAATCTGAGTAGCCCAACCGGATTCTCGATAACTGTCCGGCAGATGAAAAGGGAAAAACCGATTCGCCGACGATCAACAAACACCCGTTAGATTGTAATGTTCGCCAATCGACGACACTTGGCTCCGATAAACTTTGTATACGTGTCTTTCTCTCTCTGCAACTGAGAAGTCGCTATGATAATTGAATATCACTATCTACATAACAAAATATGTACAAAATATGTACAATTTCTAAAGGGCGAATTAAAGTTAGGTTAGGTTAAAAATTTCAGAATATTTTTAACCCTTAACTTTAACATTTTCAACCCTTAAAAAGCGTTATCGAGTCACTGGAGGCCAAACTTGTAATTCATCATATTTATATAACCAATTTTTGATTTAGGAACTTCCAAATTATCCACCGCATCGACGTTGCGCCAATACTTGCAGAACCAAAACAAAGGATCCTATCTAGACGACTTTGTTGTACCATGACAAGACGTGTATAACGTCCTGAACACGTATATAACGTATATAATAAATATCGCGCCAGAAACATCGAACATTCGAATGTAAAGGGATCGGTGAAATAAAGCAAGCGAGACCAGATTACGATCCTGACAGAGTCTATAAGACAGAAGATCCAAGAACAGAAGTAGAGTGAGGAGCTGTTACTGAAGCATTAATAAAAAGCCAGCGGGTTATTGTTCGCCAATAAAAGACTGACAGACGATTACGCGATTCAGCGTAGGCCCAACGCACGGTTCGATTCGAGAATCGATAACGCGAATTCTCGCCCACGCTTCCCTGCACTTTCCATCTGCGTCGTGAGAAACCGCTTTATTTATACTCAGAAAGAGTTCTTTTTTTTCCATCCCACGAGGAGCACGCGCATTTATGGCTGTATTCTAATATGCGAGCGTAGGCGTCTGACTGCGCTTGCCATTTGTACATTCTGTTGATGGATAAAACGCAGAAATATTATGAACTTAATATTGATTTATTTTGTTCTCAATTCAGTTTCAAAAAGTATTGAAGAATTTGATATCTTTTTTGAAAGTAGTTGTATAATCACTGTAGAGTTGGATTTTTGTAGAATTATTATTAATGGAATTTTATACTGAATTCAAACAGCGCAGTGATTTAAGAATACGAATCGAGCGATTACGAAAGAGTTATTCGCGCAGGCTTTAAGTATGCACAGTGTGTGCACGCACGTGGTTCTCCAGGATACCGGTCCGAGTATCGTGAACTGTTACGCGGTCCGCATTCAACATTAACACACTCCCCATTACGTAGGATGATATTTATCCGAGGCATGACATTCAGTGTCGAACAATGACCGCAGATAGTTATTTAACATTAAAACGAAGATGAATCACAATCAGTGATTCTTTGCTAAAACATTGAGAATTAAACCACGTTTTTCTTTTAGAATCTGAATGCATGAAGGACACATGGCTACTAACATGAGAAGGAAATTAATTTATAAATTTCTTTGACAATATCAAATTAATCTAGGCCATGACTATTAATCTTTCAAAAAGATGATTGAAAGATAATTTGTTATATTATGTTTCGTAAGGCTGATATACTATGAAAATAATGTCAGTAAAGTATCGACATGCAAACACTCCAGGCTAGAAAACAAGCTGAAAAGCTGGATTAAAAACTTCTATAACGAAAGTGTGTAACATAGGACTGAGGTTGGAAAGAGCGATTTCCATAGCTTTTGCAACGGACCAACAATATGTATATCCCAGTCGCTTGGTGGCGAGCTGGTTGCCAGGCAGCGAGTTTCGTCCAGGTAAACCTCTCTTCTCGTTTCCTCTTTCACTCGCTTGCACCTTGTTGCCGATACAAACGCCATATTACCAGTCTATCGACGTTTGATATCGGTCGACTGGACTCAGCGGTGCGCAAACTCCCATGATACAGAGCTAAACTAGTTTCAGACACAGAAACTCTGGTTGAAGAATATCGCAGACGTTGCCTGTTTTATCAGCAACTATGTTACATAACTTATTTCGGGGATATCATACTTCAAAATAAATAAATCTATGATAATTTGAAGTTAAGATGGAGAATTATTCTTTATTATCATGAAGATCATTTCAACAGACATGAGAGATGAAAAAAAAATTTCTTTCCAATTTCTGCTGATTGATTTCAAAGTCACAACTGACGTGGCTTTTTGATATGGTCGACGTGGCTATTTTATGGTTTGTATAATGTACTCTGTTACTTAATAACTCAGAGGAAATATATCATTTTTAAGCTTCGTTTTCTTTCTTAGAAACTAAGAAGGGAAAAGCGTTTCTGTTGCATAATCGGATCTTCCTAGCAAATTTTTGTCATGTAATTATAAATCCAAAAACCTAATGTTTAGTGACTAGCTCAGGTTTATTTGGTACTATCAGATTTAAACAAGCTATGAATCTACCTTTTATACAATATTTTTTTCTTATTTTTCCCCAGACAAAAAAAGTGTTAACTTGAAACAATCAATACAAGGAAAATATATTGCCACAACTGTGTTCTCTGTGTTACAAAATAAGCGGCGATTCCGGTTCGACCGCTGTTCATTAATACGCATTGCTTGTAAATTATCACCGGGAATGATACGAGGTTGCGCACCACTGATTTAATGGATGACTCTACCGGCCTGGTGTGGTAATCACGGTGAAAAATCTTTCGTTCGAACGGCCCTCAGTTCGGTCCTCAGTCATTTTGTCGTCAACAACACGCCGTTGCTCGTCTGCCCTTTAATTACCACGGGATCTCGAAAAATCCACGCGAAAACTGCTCCTGTGAAAAACCATGGCGCTGCCTGGTTCAACGACCTTGCATAGCTGAATGCTATGGTTGAATGGCGTAAAATAATTGAACGAGATTCGGTGGAAGATTCCCGATTATTTCTGTGGAAATCATACAGTTGAATAACAGACGGACATTTATGCAAATTTGTCTTGTTATGAATGTAATTAAGACAAAAAGAGATGGGCATTTGTTTTGATAATGTTTAAATATTGTTGTAGGCATGCAGGTATTGCAGAACGAAGACCACAGGAATTTATAAAAGAAGAAAAAAAAAACATAATAGGAACTTGTAGAAAATTTATTTCAATTATAGTGTATCCACTTGACCCAATAAAAATCGAACAATAATTCAATCTTAATAAGTAATTCCACTGAGGCACATTGATACTAAAAATGTTCTTGGTAAATGCATAAAAATTCACTGTCTAATAATAGCCAGGAAAAATTTCTAGAATATTCTTTCACAACATAATCAAGCGGTTATACAATAGTTGTGGAATAATCTTGATAAACGTCAGACATCTGATCTGATAAGTGTAATTTACAGTTTTTTTGAAAGCTTGGCATGAAATATGGGATAAAATCAAAGAAGAAAAATCGTAAAACTTGTTAATGGTGGTAATTAAGGTGTTCGGTGAGGAAGTTCTGACATGATTACATGAACAAGGATGATAATTGCTTAGGTACTGATATTTCTAATGAAGATAATGTTTCACGGATCGTTGTTGCCACTGCACTTTCTGAATTATTTTCTTTCTTTCCATATTTTTTGGAGTAACAAGTTTGCCTCGTCATGCGCCATCATGTATGATTTTCAGGCCAACCGCTATTTGGTGCGTTTTTTAAATATTTTTTTTTCCAATCACGCTTGCGTAACTTTTTGTGTTCTCATTACTTCCTTACTTACACATTTATATATTTATCTGAGATTCAATTCTAATTTCTAATGGCTCAGTGCTAGTTGAGATAATACACATAATACACAAAATTAATAATGAAAATTTGAAACGAATCTTCAATCGGGTTCTGTTGTTTTGCACTCAATTGAAATGACAATCGAAAGTAACTAGGATCTATTTTCAGGGAACCGACAGACGTTCTGAAACAAAGGTTCAGAGGCTGGCTATCAGCATACGAAATAACGCTACAATGTACCGTAAGTCTTCACGCATGGTGGATCGAAACGAACAGAAGAGGAGGAACAGGCAACAACACCACACGCGATCGATTGGTGGCTCGTTACAGAGAGCCTGGTTGAAAGTTCGAACGAGGTCCGTGCATTAATATTTCCGTTATTGCGCGCACGAGCACCGAGGTTATGCCTTTCACACAGCCAAGTAATAATACGGAAAGTGATCGTTCCTCTCCCAGTTGGCTGATCGATCACGATACGGATTTTAACGAGCCTTCATCCGATTAACGCTCCACTGATCACGCAAACCTTACCTCAGCACATTTTGTTAACTTTTTTATGCTATTACATTAAGCGGAAGATCATACACAGCGTTAACAGAGATTTAATGGATTAAACAAGCTCACACGCATGTTATTTTAATTACAAACCGGGATACATCTCTAAAATGAAAGATAAAATAGGCGTGAGAGATTTGAGAGTGTTAATGGAATTAAATTATGACACGACTAATTAGTGATCAATTTAAATGGTATTTCCACCAGGAGACAATAATAGAGCAATTAATGGTGGAGTAATTATCATCTAAATATGGAGATTCTGGGATCACCAACGTTTCATAATACTGCTGGATCTACTTAATCTTGGCTTTCCTTTTCAAGAACTTGTCAATCCACTCTTGATATGGTATAAATTACTATTAGCTTCTGTTCTTAGAATCCGGGAGATATCATCGACTCGTAAATCCTATAACTAGAGACTCATAAAAAAAAGAGTTCTCTTCAACTACTTGAAGCTACTCAAAGTGATGCAAAATTTTGACTAGGATAACTTCAATTATGGGTATTTCTAAATTATCATAACAAAGATTCTAGCACCTGCCCTCTGTTCAAAATTTCATTTAGCATTTAATCTTGCAATTAAATTGCAAATAATTGGAAATTGTCAGATCAAAGATCATCAAGCACCAAAGTATCTACGAATCTCAAAACTAAGGTAGTACCAAATTGTTACAACAGAGATCCTCAAGTACTGAACAAACTTAGAATTCTATTTGACTTTTAATTTTGTAACCAAACCTTGATTGTCCAGTTCCATAGATCACAGATAGATCCTTAATCCCAAATGGTCACGTGTACACCACTGTTTACTCATTTTCACAAAAACGTATTGGGCAACAGTGAAGAAATAAAATGGATAACCAAAGGGGAGGAGAACGTTTGAACACGTTCGCAGAGTATCCGTACAAGTCTATGGCCGCGACGCGACTAAACGTTGATCCAGGACTTTCACTTTGAGATCCAGTCGGCCCTCTGTCCCTTCTCGAGCCGATTATTCGCAGCACGCCCACGCTCGCCAGCTCTGAATCACGATCGAATTGTTCTTACATGGATAATACCATTCCCTGGCTGGACAGAGTGGTTCTCTGTTGATACGTAGACGGATTTATACCGGGAACTAAAACTTAACACGGTTCATCGTCCAGTTCAGAGTTAGAAAATAAATGATATGCAAGAATATGACAAGAAATTGGCAGTGAGAAGAGTATAATTGGAATAATCAGAAGACTTTTGCTTAAAGTTTGCATATATAATATACTACTGATAATAAAAAAGCAGAACGAGAATTGAACTCGTGAGATATTTTAGATATAATGTACCTAAAATTATAAAGAGTTTATATTATTTAATTAAAAGATTGTAAAAAAAAAGCTAAACCTAGTAGTTTGAAAATAAAATAAATTAAGCTTTAGGAGTTGAGTACAAAATATTCAGATGATTGAGATTTTTCTAGGTTTCTTTCTAAGAATAACTAAATAAAATAAAATTCACTGACAGAATTCTCTGATACCTGGCTCTAGAAAGAATAATTGAATTGACGCAGGATCGTTAATTAAAATTTACAATGGCGAAGTGAAGTTTGAAGCTAACTGTACAGTAAATGGGTGCAAGAACAAAGGAGGATTTCATGAATAATAACTGTAAATAATGGACATCAGTGAACTAGTAAATAAAGGTATCGGTAAGAAAACATTTTTGTGGATCATTGAAAATTTTAATGGTCAATTTGTATATTTAATAAAAATCCAAGATTATATAATTATTTTGAAAATTTTTATTTCGAGTTTGAAAGAAGTATGAAAAAACGAGTGAAAGAAATTTGATGAGTAAGGGTGCCACGAACGGAAAAGTGAATGAACTTCGCGTGTCAGCAACACCAGAAACCGCTCAAAGTTTGCTATCGTAGTTCGTTGAACGAGGAACGGCTGAGGAAGACGAAAAGAAGTCAGCGCTTACGTAAACGCGCTTTCGTTTGTTTTTGAAATATGCATCGACTCGATCCTGATTCAACACGGAAGAGCATGTGGCACCACTGCGATCCGTGCTCGCTGATAATCAAACAGTGGAAACTCGATTTCTTCCTTTTCAAAGGAAGTAAAATAGCATGAATTCGGAAACTTGAATCACTCGATTGAGAAATTTTTAAAAAACTGGACAAATGTAAAAGTTCCAAGAATCAAGGAAATTAGAATTTTTCGAACATGGACGATCGACAATACTTAAGATTTGAGAATTAATAGATTGAATAACCGATAATTTTAAGCTTTGAGCGTTTAAGAATAAAGATTTAAGAATTCGAAACTTTGGACATTTTTGAGTAATTGATAATTAAAAGATCGAATATTTTGATAATCCAGAATTCAGAAGATCCAGAAATCTTCAGACAAAACTGCGTGTAAAACCTAGTTCTAAAATTGGTGTCTTAAGCCTGGTTTGAAAATAAGGTTATTATAAATATTAAATAGCAGAGTTAATCGTATCAGTTAACAGGGACGAAGCGTTTATTTTCGAACTTCGATGAATGAAAATTAATACACGCTGTTGACGGCAACAGAAACGTAATCACGGCAGGTTATATCGAGTCCCAGCTGTTCACCTCCGCCGGCATAATCCATTCCCTGACTTTCCTCGTTCTACAGTTACTCCGGGGTGAAAGGTGAACCCTCTCCCTTCTCCTCGAGATCGTACCAACAGGAGGATCCGCGACTATACTTGTAGGAGAGCCCGATTGCCACACTCTGGCTCTCCCTGTTTTCTACCTTGTTCTTGGAGACGAATCCTCGGATGATGTGATTCACTAGACTGCTAACGGGTTACTCCAAAATGCTACCAATTGTATTGTAGAATGATCTAAATAGTTAAAAGTACAAAAGTTAAAAAAGCACAGTAGAAGCGTTTATATTTTGTGAAAGATTGGATTCTGATCAATTTTGAGTAATTCAATCTACACTGATCAACAAGAATTATGTTAATTAACTGATGGAAGGATATTTGCTCCAAGAAAATAACACAGCGATTGTCCTTATCCTCAAAAGAGCAGATTTCGTCAGCAAATGGAATAAGGCCAAGGAAAATGAGAGCTCCACGAACAAAAGAAATCATCCGCTTACTGGAATCATCCATATCTAATCTTAATCATTATTCTACTCGCGTATGTTTATTATTTTCCCGTGTCCTCGCCGCGTATTACCAACACGAAAGTGACATCATATTCTGTTCACAAACCAGTTCTCATTGACTTTAATACCAGTTCTCTATAGTGAATCTTTAGAGATGGTCGCCAGGTGGGGTCATGACCTCACAATGCTTCTACAGCCACGTGTCCTCTGATCCTCTGAGTTCAGACACACTTCAGAAATTGCAGAGGAAAGAATATCAAGTCTTTTTGAATTTGGAACTATTTAGGTTCTTTTAACTATTATTTAGGATTAAGTTAGAAAACATAAACAACAACCATTCTAATACATAAATTTCTGCTATTCTTTTCTATAGTCAAAACATATTCAAGATGTTTTGGACCTCCTGGAGATCCAAAGTCTGCGTTCTTATTGAAAAGTTGGCACTAATGGGGTCAAAAAGAGGAAAACTCGGCCGAACACGTGAGAGACAATGGCCCCTTGGTTTTGCTTGGAAGTTTCGAAGCGGCTTATGTGCATGCTACACCAAGCAGAAACTTCAGTCTCCATTACATAAGAGAATAGCCGGCTCTCTTCATCTCTTTTTTTCCACTCTCTCGATGTTGAATCACCGCGGGCGTCTAGACGAATTTAATTAAACCCAGACACATAATTCCTTCAGGTTTTTGACGGAGTGTTTAATTTAATTTGTAGAATTACCCGAGTACTAAGTCAACTATTAATTGTTGCTCAGTTCCAATTATTGTCAACAAATTGACGCGTTGTTGAATTATGTATGAAAAGGAAAATTACTTGAAAAATGATGGATGGAGAAAATGAAACATGGCAGAGTAGAGACGTGTGATTGAACGTGAAATTACAAAGCACAGAGGCGCCTTCTGTTGATATGTCGTACTCTATTATTTCCAGACACCGTTAGCCTTTATTACATGGCACATTTTCTTACGTGGGTGGTAGCTTTCTCGATGGAACTCTACAGCAACGCCCGCACACTGCCTCTAACGCCAACAATGTTATCTAACATTCAAAAAAGAAAAAAAGCGTATCATGTATATCAGTGATAAAAACAGTTGAAAAGTTTGGTCGGATCGTACGAGCATCGACCGCAATTATACAAGACACAGACGGCTTGTGACACACACAGTTGGATAAGAAGATAATCTATAAATGCTGCTCCACCGTTGTCTTGTCACAAAACTGGTTTGCCAACCCTTCCGGGTTTTCGTGGCTGTCGATGCATGAACTTTGCTTTGGAAAGCTGTTGTTAGACTTTTTTTCAGACGTGCAAAATGTTCCTTGATAGAGATCGAGATTTAGAAGATCCACTATTTCAAAGTTTAGCGTCTAAACTGATCGTAGGATCTGACTAGGAGCTCTCGATTGTGTAAATTGGGAATTATTTATTGATCGAGGATCCTTATTTGCAGATAAAGAGACTTTCAAGGATTCAGTTTGAAATTTTATGTATGATTATTTAGAAGCGATTGACACGATGGAATGTTTATTTTTCATTTTATAAATTTATAACTTTTTCTTGTTGTAATGGCTTTATATTCGTAGTGTACGAGAAATAATTTTATGATAATTTTTTTAGGTCATGTAGAGTGGTGAAAAATCAAAATTAAAATTATTTTCATTTTTATATTAAAATCCGATGGTCGCTGGAATATTTGATTGAAATTTCGTTGTAGTGAGTAACGGAGTAATGAAAAGCAAAGATGTCACTATCTCCGGAAGGTTGTTTCGCGACGACTTCCTGCTGCTCATCGCGATGTTGCTCAAGAAACGTCGGAAATAAGGTTGGAAAATCGTGTTCCTGCCATCCAGGCATCGGCCAATGAAATTTTTTCTGATGCAACAACAATCGTTGCGACACGATCATCAAGGAAGATAAGTATAAAAATAAAAGTGTGGGAGAGTTTGCATTATGATTTTTCTTTGATTTTTGTTGTGTCTAAACTTTCTATCGTGCATTATTTAATAGCTATTTGTTAAACTCTGCCAAACTATGCTGCAAAACAGATATACAGATATCAGAATGTAATTAATTTAGATCCTGATCTAATTTTAAATGGAGGCACGTATTGCTACAGATATCTTTAAATAAATATTTTTGTATCTATTATTTTTATTTTGTATTTTTAACTGTATGGTTTTCAGCTTTTCAGAGAAAATTAAGCTCAACCAAAAATTTATAATATAATTTATAATATTGTTAAACTAAATAAAATAAATTAAATAAATAATAATAGAAGAACTTTATAAGTCTCCAGAAAAATATAGAACAGAGATTTATAGTATATGTTCGTTGCTCGAATAACATTTATATACCTCTCGTTTTATTTACAGTAGAGCCAATAATGAGTTCACAAATAATTGCATTAACAGGAAAAGTAACGCATTATTCATGAGACAAGGAGAGCCGTAATAAGCCCCGGAGAGAAACTCTCCATTCACGATGCATGCTCTTTTCCAAAGCCGACGATTTAATGCTGGCGTCCTCGATTTGATGGGAAAGAACAATGCTGCGGAGAAAAATGTGCGTTTGCAGTACGCTCTGCTAAGAGATACATTGCTGATGAGGCGAAGCAACGATCCACAACCAGTTTGCTAATTAATTAAACGCTCTAACGTCATTATAACTTTATTGAACAATAAGAAAATAAGAGAAAACATTCAGCGAACGAGTCTACAATTTCTCAAGAAAACTTGCTTCAATAAAGGAAAGATAGCATGTTTAACGAAGGAACGGTGTCTTATTGAAAACTAAAAAATTATTAATAAAATTTTATTACATTTTTTTGTAGCTATTATTTTAAAAAAATGACAGCTATTAAAGACAGAATCTTTAACAAAATAATTTACATAGTAATTATATATTTTACGAAAAAATTTTATTTAATTATAAGTTTATTTAATTATAAACTTTACTGCTGTAAATTCTATATTTTTTTTATTAACTCCTATTGATTCTTATTATAATTTTTATTTTTCCTGAAAATAGAATCTATGATAGATTCTGCAAAAACGCTCGTTTTCTTTGAACTATTATCCTCTTCCATGTATGAATTCCAAGAATTGCACATTCCTATTTTTTTTCTCAGCTCGTCATCTCTATATGGAAAACCAGAGCGTGGATTTCTCCTCGAATCAACAATCGTGCAAGAAATATTGCTAATTGGATATTAATTGAAGATCAGAGGAGCTTTCGGAAAGCGGCAATACCCTTGGATACACATACGACAAAAATCCACGGGGATCGTTAAGTTACCTTACAGGCCGATTCAAGGACAAGTATCATCAGGATTGCGAGTCATCCTGCTTGTTCTTTCTGTTCCTCTTTTTTTTTCTCTCCGCTCCTTTTTTCCTTGGACTCTGCCATCCTTCCGTGCCGGACGGTCTTTTTTGCTCAACACTCGTTTAAAACTCGTTTTTAAAATCATCCACAAAAGTATATTAACTTCACTTATAATTGTAAGTTAGAATTTGTATTATTGTATCCGAGAATTCAATTGCATCGAGATTTATGATATGAAATATTTTTCTAATTTTCTCTAGGCTCCCCCTCTTCATCTGGGAATCCCAATTTATAGAAATTCTCCCACAGTCTTTCATATAGACACACAGACATAATCTTCTTCCAGAGAAAGAAATGAAAATTATAGAGAACATTTTATTTAATAAGTGTTCCGTATATATAATTTTTCTACAACAACATGGAAATATTATTCAGTGGTATGTTAATTTTTAAATCAATTGACGTAGTAAAACAATTTTCACAAATTAAAAGTTAAGTAATTATTCCATTTCACAATTATCTATCAATCCACTGAGGAATCAAAAATCCACTGCAAAATCATAAAAAAGGAGATTCGTAAGTTCGTAACGTACAAATCATCAATAACGTACACATAATTAATAAATCAATTATTGTGTAACGATACTAACAACTGGAGAGTATAAAAAAAAAGAAGAAATATAATTTGGAAAGTGAATGACGCGAGTTGAATTCAACTGTGAGGAGGCAGAAGAATGAAGTAAAAGAAGCAAAGAAGAAAAAGAAGAAGGAGACGGGCAAACTTCTGATGAAGGAAGTTGTTTGCAGTCGAATGAATCGAACCTTGGGAAGAGTGGTCCAGACGGTGTTGGAAATGGCTCAAAGGAGCCCGCGGCACGTCGACAAGACGTCCCTCTTTGTGGGATACCGTTCGACCACCGAGCAAGTAACGAGATCTCGGTTCGTAGAACTCGCTTTAACGATTCCGCTCCTTGTTTATCCAGAAATTCATTCACCTTGCCCAAAATCATTTATCTATACTGCAGAAGCGACTAATATCATCACTTTTCAGAGTATGATACTTCTGTTTCCCGTGACGCTGAACAATTTCTTTGTTCCTTTGTCTCAAATCTGTGTGCAGTATTATTCAAAAAAGAATTATTTTCTTGGATCAGTAAAGTAACATACAATAAGATGCCACAAATATGCTGTAAATTGTATATAATTAAATGTACAGTCGTCACACCTAATTGTGTGCTAGTATTTAAAAAAGAGAGAAACGTATTATTTAGGTAAGAGGGGCTTGTTTAGTCGAATATTTGGATGAAACTCGATCAGTTGTTCAGAGGAAAGCGTGTATCGATTGAATAGTTCGAGGGGTCAAGCGTTCGCACGTGTCTGCACGGTTTTCTTTCTTTTGCAGACATTGGATACTGTACGTACACTGGATGCTGCACGAAACCGTTATGCAACCCGCAGCGGTCTTTGCTCGATTGCCTGATTCCCGTTGCCCTGTCCGTGCAACGTGTGAAACCAAATCGAAACTCATTTCTGTCAAAAATTGTTATTCATGAAATAGTGAAAGAGATTCGAAGGATAAGAAAGCAATAGCTAAGGAAACAACCGCATTGTGCAATCATTCTCGACTACAAAGAAACCACATTTCATTGGTTGTTTGGCATTCGAGTCTTTTCATACCAGTTCTCTACGTCTACATAATTGAAATACGTATCTCGAGTAAATTTTCAAATTGATCTCAGATCAGAAAGCTTCGTTTCCATACAGAACCATGTGCATTCACATCACGAAGGCATTTTCCTGTTTTCCGTGTTCCATAATGTTTTAAAACAATTGTACGGTTCATTTCAGAAACGACGTTCATTGTCTCTCTGTTACGCCAAGCTGTCTCCGCATTTCGAATTCTTGCATTGAAATCAAGCTCACTATATACTTTCACCGAATGCTTTAAACAATGAGCCATCCACCATTGAACTAATTTCAAAAGCGCTGTCATCCTTCAAAAAGTATGTGTTTCAAAGAGTATCTGTTTGAGTTATTGCTTTTCATGGCGCCAGATCTATTCAATCACCTTTTCAAATTATCTACGAAAGAAACTTGAGACTGAAATTTTACAGATTGGAAATTGAGAAATTTGACGAGTTGCAAACTGATGCGTTTTGGAAATTGCAAATTCGACGACTGGAAAATCTAGAAACGTGGAAAGTTTAAAATTAAATGCTGAAGAACCGGAATTTTAAAAGGTGGAAAATTGAAGAAATTTAAAAGTTGAAACTCCGAAAAATTTGAAGATTGAAAAATTGAAAAATGAAAGAGCATCGTTGCTTTTTATTTTAGATCTTATTTTAAGTCATAGAATCGTTGCTTAATTTAAAGTTTATGTATATTGTAAAGCGCGTAGTATCACGGAATAAGCATTTGAGGCGACAGGCTCCCACAAGTCACCGACGCACGGCGCGTCATCGACCACCATGATCCCCGGTGTGTTTAGTCTGTCTCCCTGTTTCCTTCTTCCTTTTGGCTACTTTTCTTCTCGCCTCTCTACGCCCCTGGCCACCACTCTGTTCGCTTTCAAACACTCTCCTCTTTTGTTGTTTGCCTCCCTTCTTCTCCTTCTTGCACTTGTGCATTCTTTTCACCTCTGTTTTACTGTTTCAATACTGCTTGATATTCGGTCGCTTAAGTTATTATTAGACTGCAAATATCCGTGAGAATTCATATTTTTTATGAATATTATTAAATGGTGGAACATAAATAGAAAACAGTTTCACAAAATAAAACATTACTTTAAATACTCCAATGAAAGAAATTCATAAAAAAATCTACAGTCTGACGATTATAACAGAAATTATGACAGTGGATCTTGACAAATTACAATATTTTTTTTTTAAAGAATTTCTTCCATCCATTTCTTTTTTTTTGTTTTTTTTTTTCTTAGCAAATTTTTGTTCCTTTGCTCTTCAATCTATTTATAACCAATCCCAACTCTCATTTCCCCTATGAGAGAAAGAAAATGGAAAGCTGTGACGCGATTTACGACCCTCGTTTAAAGTTTCCGGATGAAACTTATCAGCCACGCACACGTGCCACCTCTGAAAATAGATGTGTCTAACACCAAAGGTCCTTTCAGGTGGCGGAAAAATGGACGGAAATTGGTGTCAGAAGGAAGCATTGAATGGATTCGTGCGTCCAACGTGTGCATCAGGTATCCACGAGCCCGTTTATCGTCCTTTAAAAGAGACTCCAGCGTCGTGTGGGCAGTAGCAAAGATGAAGCCACTTAGGGGAGGGGTTTCTTAACTCAAGGTGATCCGGTATAATAAAAGCGAGAGGCCCCCTTTACAGAAAAAAAACACCTGACGAATCCTTGCGCGTAGAGAAGAAACAGGATGAAAGAGGTCAGCTGTGACCTAACTTCCACTGGCTAGATTAACATCAACGATCTTAGAATTATGTGTCGCTGGATACTAGAATTGACCATTCTACGTGTGAAAAATGATTGAAAAGATGGAAAATGTGGAAACGAGGTTTCTTTTCGAGAGAGATTTCAATTTGGAAATTTACAAAAAATAGTAGTATATCAGGATACTTCATTGGATATGTTCTAATTCCATCAAAAGGTTATCATGGTTACTGAGACACCTTGTATAATGTGGAAGATATAAAGGACAAAATTCTCTGACCATGAGAAGCGACACAAGTAACACCAGATGGCTCGGTTTTTGAAATACAACGTAATTAGCAAATGATCCTCTGAACGCTTTTTTAATTAAGGTGCGTCATCGCCTACAAATGCTTGGTAATGAACATTTTTCTATGTCGAAACAAAGCTGACGTTCTGAACTGCTCACCCCCATGGCCATAAATTAAGTCTGGTGATGATATTATCCGCACCCCCGCATTCCTAGCCCTTGAAGCGGAGCCAGTGACTCATCGCCGATGACTGTTCATCAATTTCCTCCTCGTTTCGCTTATCCTGGAGAAGCCACAAAGTCGGTAGCTATGGTTTTATTATCAGACATCAGTCTGCTTTCAATTTCTTATTAGTAACAATCTTTCTTTCTCATTTACTAACAAGCTAAACCTTTCGGGAATGCCCATTTTGAAATTAATTCTCTTTTGCAGCAATTACGGAAAAATTAGCCCAAGGGGACAATTATCAAATCATCAACTAAGTCTGAAGAAGATTGGAAACCAAAATGAGTTAGATTTTGAAATTACACGTTTTCCGGAGCAAGAACGATAAGACTAATTGAAGAGAATGAGAAACTGAAGCACTCAGCGATGGAATTTTCAAAATAATTTCTTTCTGGAGTAATTATGTAGAAATTAGCACTCGCGATAAGACTAACGATTGTTTGACAGTCTGAGCTTTGTTATCTTTGGATGAGAAAGTGAAGACCAAAATTAGTAAGGCTCTGCGCTTTGGACTATGCATAAACCTGGTGTGTACACCTTGTGCGCAGGGTCAAGCCCGTCTCGTCTTGAAGGTGGCTTTTACAATGCAAATACACGTTGCTGTGATTTATACAATTTTCTCTTGTTCGGCTAGGAAGTCAGACGCTGGCGTCGTGAGGTTGTATTCGTTTCTGAAACGAAAATAGCCGACGGGGAAGGATAAAGGCGGCTCACAGCCCCGAATGAAAGACCAGCCTGAAAGCGACAGACGGACAAAACAACGATCCAAGGGGAGAAAAATCGAAGTAAACGCTCCGTCAAATCGCATTTTCACTGCCCTTTCCTCCTTTTACCAACAGCGGTCTAAAAATAGTTCCGCCACGCGAGCAGAGAAAGTGTGTCCTTGGCTTCTCCGGAGAACAAAGATTGCAATTTGTCAGTTTCCAGAAATCTAATCAACGTGTTAGATTGTTGCACGCTTCGTGTAAAGTGTGAAGTTAGAATTTAGTGACTGGAAGTGTTGGTGGATAATGTTTGAAGACTCTATCGTTTAGTCTAATTTCAAGATCAAATGATAACTCAACTGCTCTTCTCTCTTTAATTCATTTAAGAAAAATTTTCTTTATTTAAAGAAAACAAAGAAAATTTTCCTTATTTAAAGAAAAAGAAATACCCTTATAAAATTTAGGCACACTATTAATTTTTCAGAATATATACAGCCTGGTGCGAAATGTGCTCAGAAGGCAGTGATTTTCTAATTCAGTAATTTCCCGTAAAGAAACTCTCTCGTTTTGTTTTGTTACCGCACGATGATAATTGAAGATTACACGGGCGTTGCATGAAATTTCACAAGGAAAAGCATAATTCGGCCCAAATGTATCGGACGGAGTAATAGAAAGAACTGTGTAATTACAACGCGACGCGAGAATGTGTGTACAGAGGCGAGGATAGCTGGTTATCCTGAAGGCAGCCAATGGAACAAAGAGAAACTGCCGGACACATTCAGCGCCTTGGGCAACCGAAGTGATTTCGTAACTCCCTGCGCTACCACAAACTGTATCACGTGAGAGACGTTTGATCCTCAATAGAACGTTTGCTGGAAACCTGATGTACAATTAGAAAACAGAAGAGAAGACACTTCAATAAAAAAAAATACAGGAATGTATATAAATGAAGATCAAAGAGGAACAAACATGGTACTTCATTTTTATGTTCTATTTATAATCTATGACTTAGATTATGTAGAACTTATTCACTTATTTTGAGGTGACAACAAAGCCAAGATTTTTTATTAGGTTACTCAATTTTAAATTATACTTCTCTTAATTTGTTCTTTGTGTTTTATACAGTCAGTAACATTCATAATCTTTACATGTAAATTATAAAGTGCAAATTAAATTTTGAAGCAAGCTCCAAAATTCATCAATTGAAACTTGTTGTCGAGGGTGAAGAATATATTTAATAGACTGCAAGACTACGAATTCGAGCATAACAAAAATTTTTGTTCCTTCTTAAGTATAAAGTGGCAAGAAGAAGATATTGACAAATTTCTGTCACAGTGGCTCAAAGGGTCTTTGTATAAAATAAAATTTTGAACTTTTGAAGCCAAGATAAGTCAAAATTATTGGTTTTAGACTCATTTCCGGTTATCCAACACTGTCATGGATCATCTGTATAAATCGAGATTAGAAAATCAACAGGAACAGACTTATTTCTGCCATTCGTACATTCATTGAAAGAAATTAAACGGAAGATTCGATGGAACGTTAATAGAATACCGATGGAAAATAGAATGCTGAATATAAAGAAAGGATTCTTCAGAAATTTCAACATGTAATGGCGGTAAGATTGATCGACTCCGTCAAAGGAACTATTGAATGACGCTTTTTTTTTTAAAAGAATCCTCGTTGTTTACAATGACGCATTGGAAAGACTGCGTTAATTGATCAAAAGCATCTCGATGAATGGAGGAGAAATCGTTAGGAGCCGACCGTGGAACGAAATCGTTGCAGCACTGCGGAATCGATTTTTTGCTTGTTGAGCAATTGACGATTTGCTATGTGAAACGATCATTTCCACTCTCAAATCAATTAAAAAAGATTAATTGCCATGGAATTTATTATTATACGGAGTTATGATTAACAATTGTGGTACAATTACTGTACATATGAACGATTTAAAGATCGGCGGAGAATTCGAGAATTTGAAAATTTCGAAGCTTTCGATTAGATTTGAAAACTCTCCTTGGGACTTGGAACTCTCGAAAACTTGGAAGCAGTAAGTTCGAAGCCTTGAACGTTTGCGCTATAAAAAGAACTTAATGACGCCTACGAGTTTCTGCCACTTTATCAATGACGACACATCAATCGGCGTGAATATTTTACGCGCGTGGCAATCGATCATGACTGACGACAATCGCCCTGAACAATTATAACTTGGAACAGGGTCGTAAACTGAAGTTCACGGAGGATCGATCGGAAGTTGTTAATGGGGAGCGGGTCAGTAAACAGTGAGAGAGACGTTTAATGCCATCGGGGAGACCACCGCTATCGATTATTATTAATAAAGATGGCGCGTGATAATTAAACTCACCCCGGGAGATGCGTAGATCAACACCCGGTGAGGTGACATTCACCGTGAGGCTTTTGCACGTCGCATTATCACGGGGTCATTAAGTTCTCGTCCAAGTGTAAAACAGCTGATAAAAATAATTAGAGATAAAATACAGGTGTCATTAAAGGTCAGACACAAGATTGCGGTTAATCCAATTGTAAAGCTCAGGGTAGGTACACGTTGACCTGATCGGTGGCCTTTGAATTATTTAAATTTATATTCCTTCCAGAAGAAAGGGTCAGGATCGCGCAGATGATCCACTTTAATCTCTCTGTTTATCTAATCCTTTCGAAAACAAGTGAAGGAAACTAGGTGCACCGAATTGTACAGAGCGGAACATCTTTGAATTTGAAGCTTCCTCCAAAGTAAATTAGCAATGTAACAATGGCTGGAAGTCGACGAAGCGTGTGTGCACTCTTCCAGGTCAAAGTTCACGCTCGGTTGAGCACCAAGCAGAAAGAAAACCGGAGGATTGCTGTATGTATCTCTAACAAAACACATTCACCCCAAAACATAGACTCAACAAGGAATATGTGAATGTTACTGAAATTATTTCAGATTCAACGAACGTCCAATTAGTGTCTAATCTCAAAATAATATTGATCGTCTACGAGGAAGAGAAACTGATCGGTCAGAGCTGGGGGAAAAAAATCAGGCGTGTTTCTGGCACCTCACAGTCCCGTTGTTCCTCGCTATATTAATTAGCAGTGCCATAAATTCTCGTGTTATGGGAAGAGACGAAATGAAGTTTCTCGCTTTGTCGGCCCAGCATCATTAGGGTCGCCCCCCTCCTCCACACGCCATCCGTTCCCCTCCCAGAATTCCTGTTCTATTTCACACGAGTGACATGCCACTGGCATCGAGAAAGATGCATTAGGGTCGAACGGAAATAGATATTAGAAAACGTCGGATTCGAGACTTTTTTCTCTCCCAACACGCGACAACCTGATGATGACGACAACCATCGAGATTTCTGACAAATCGACACAACGCCGATGAAACTTCACAACATCACCGAAGGCGACCTCGATTCCATCAAGGATAAGGTCTCTAGACGGAGATCCAGGGAGAGCTCCCCGATTACTTTCGCCATTCTAACTGCGCGCGAATTTCTAACGTGATATTCCGTGCAGCGTGTTCGCGTTCGACGCGATCGACGCCGCGGAGAAATTCATGGGAATTTCCAAGACTGCGATTTCGCGGCTGCTCTCCCCCCACAGATTTCAAGAGTCACCGAGGTTTTATTATTTCTTGTTACGATTGAGATTTTTAGGAGGGAAATTGAAATCGATAATTTTCCTTTTTTAAAGTTTTACGCTTCGAAACTCGGTAAATTTTAAGATTGAAATTTGGAAAATTTAGCTGTTTAGAGAACAAAAGATGTAATCTTCTTTGTTTCGTACAGAAAATATTGCAAAATAGACAACTGACATGTGAAAATTCTTTACTCCATACGCGAGCATTTTGGGAACAAGACCAGTGAAACGGAGAGTGCATTAATCAATTTGATATTCCTGGACTATAATTGCTCGAGTACTAAGGTTAATTATCTGTCGGTCAGTTTCACTCATAGAAACCGGTCTACCGGTTGCACAATTTCAATTGATCCATTGAACCTTGACACAATATATGTGGTTTTGCTTTCCAGGTGTAGCGAAGTACATATATATTTAATAAGATAAGAGTCGTGGCGCGCCGCTCGTTCCACACGCTTGCTGATGTCATCTATTCAATTATCCACGCGTCACAAGCACCAAAGTATATCCAAATTCATCATTTTCAATCATATTAACTCCCCATTTTGTTATAATTTTTAAAATAAAATTCTACAAAAAGGAAGAAACCAAATAGCCAACAAAGTTAGTGAAAAACTCACCGTAAGCGTCCTCTGAACTCTTTATCTTCAGATTTCCTTCGAGGTATGATGTATTCTGTCTTGAAATATTTTTCAGTCACTGTCGAAGAATTACAAGCTTCCGAACAAATTTTAAATAAGAGAAGCCACCGATGCAAAGTCCAGTGATCTTAAGCGTGCAGAGGCTCGCTCAGAACTGGAGAACACAGCGAGCAGCAGCACGTCAATGAAAGAACGCCAGTATCGCCGCCGCTCATTCGAGCATCTCCTGCACGTGCGCGTGCAACACGCACGCGTACACACGCTCGAACAGCGTGGATGGCCTGCGTAGGGTCTGCCCTTCTCTTCGGACCCTTCTCAACATGACATCGGGGTATCGATTCGTTCAGACACCACGACGTTTGAACGGTTCAACGCTCTTGTGTAAAAGCTACGAATCTTTCTTCTCACTGATCTCCTACGATGAATATGAACTCCATCGTTTATGAAACAATCCTGGAGATTAGATCGATGGATTGGTTGCATGCAGTAAATTTGTCTGTTATTCGATTGTTTTGAGATAATTTTAATTTCTATTCCACAGAGATATTGAAATCAAATTTGATTGTTCTTTCGTAGGCTCTTTACTGATCAGTAACTGGTACCTCCAAGTTGTAATTATTTATTACACTTCAATGTAGTCACTTGATCTGAAGTAACAGTTGAATATCAAGACAAGTTTATTTCACGAAACTGATACAATAAAACGGAGGAAAAGTCGACGACGTAACCACCATGGACGAAGTATAATGCATAGCCCTACGAGGAACGGCACCGTTCACTCTAGCACGGTAGAATAATCACGTTGCACGTGCCTAGTCGGTTCTTGCCGTGCGGTTCGTAGAAACGACCGGTCACCTGTTCTTAATCGTTGCTCTCTGTAACTGGCGAATCGTCTGAAACAGGATTATTTCGTTAAAACTTTCAAACGGACGTTGCCGGCCGAAAAACTTCCACCGGCGAAGGGGAGAATCCCGGTTGGCTTGCTTCCTTGTAAGCCATTTCCATTGTCTTTCCATTGTTTCTTACGCGTTTCTGTACTTCCTACCAGTCGATATTCTTTTTCTTTTTTGTTATCGCACCGTACAATGGCACACCGTGAAAAATTGTTATGTAAACTGTAGGTATTTCAAGTTAGGAATGCAACAACAATCTTAGAGAAATTTGATGGGAATTTATGTAATTTTCATTGGAACGACTTTCATCATGTTTTAAATATTATTTGTTTTTGAGAGAAATTTGTCAGAAAAATTGAGCAATTTTCTTTGGAGAAATTTATAATTTATTATTAGGACTTCAGGCAGAGATTATCGTGTGGTTCAATTTTATAGTGAATAGAAATTTTCAAGCAAAAACAAACTAAATTTTAATTTGAACATGGAAAAAAGATTGAATGAATAAAACATATACCCTTTTTGCATCCTCCAGGCTGGAAGGAATATATTTTGAGTTTACTGTCTGTGCTAGGCTACTATAGTCTCTATAAAGGATGTATTGATCCTTCAGCCACTGCCTTATCGTCACTATTCTTTCTTGTAGCTCAGCAATCTCATCTTTGGCCTTGAACTTTGAACTCTCCTCTGTTAGCATAAAAAAATTAATGTAACAAATATTCTTTTCTACTTAACGAATAAATTAAAAAAAGGGAGAAGTAATTTACCAGGTTTCGTGAACGCGGCAATTTTTGGAAATTCAAGCGGCTTGAAGGCAGGTAGCTGAGAGAACATCGTCCCTGGAGTAAATTTTAATCGCGTGTGCTCCAGCTCCATCAAGTAATTACGGATATCCTCGCGTTCTTGCTGCAATCTGATTGTCACTGCCTGCTTTCGCAAACGATGTGTTTGCCTGCAGTCGAATCTCGAGTGTTTCCCATCTATTTTCCCACAATTTGATTTTCGACTCTTCGACGACTTTGAAACCTTCTTATATTTGACCTTCTTCTGTTTGATTCTCTGATCATGACTGGGATTCTTGCCCTACGAGGATTTTTTCAAGTGAGTTTCCAACATATTAAAGAAACATATTAAAATAAAAAATTATTCAACAAATTGATTCCTTAAAAGATTTACCACTTTAAAATTTTCTAGGGACGAATCATCACCGTCATAATCCACAGCATTATTGGCTCCATCTACGGATGGAAGCTTCATTATGGTTCCACAATTTTTACAGGGTCTGAATTTGTCTGGAGTCTCAACAAATGCCTGGACTCTGTCTCTCCTAACTATGGCGTTAATTGCATCTTTATTCAGTTTTCTTAATGTACTAGTGACATCAGATTGTTTCGGAGTCTCTCTTAGAAATTTGTCTTCACTAAGATCCGTCTCTGGACTGCCATCTTCTATCTCAGTTTTTAATTTTCCATCTGCTATTTTGTTAATATATTTTTCTTTATGGTGCCGTATCGGCAAGCAAGTTTCCTTTTGAGTCTCCTTTCCATTTTTTACACTTTTTCTGAAATAGTATGAAAGATATGTAGAAAATGAACTTGTTCCTCCGATTTTAAGTGATTGAAGCAAACAGTAATGTTGCTTACGTGGATGTAAAGGACTCCACGCTATTTTCTTTACGTTCTGTTAATCTCTCGTGTTCAGAAGCCACAGACGAATCAGTCCTCTCCTCTGTGTTTTCGTTGGACAATTTCCTGTATTTTTTTCGACGAACGTGCTTCTTTGTCGACGTTACTTGTTTAGATAACTTTAAAAGATTGATTGGCACAGCCTCGTCGACGTTCTCTGTTGTTTTCACGTAATTTGAGAGTTCCTCGTCAAGACCAATATCACACTCGCTGGTACTTTGCATTATTTTCGGCGCAATCAGCTCCACGATTTCTTTGTCCCTAAGAAACGGGAATGTAATTCCACTTATTATTATGGATAAAAGATTGTACTATATTATTTAATTAGGTAGTAAAATTTTTGGTCTGGATATTTTAGGATTCTAAAGTCGAGAATGAAGATCACTTTTCGAGTTACAAATGAAAAATTTTCAAGATTATCGATAAATTAACAATCTAAAATAATCAGAACAAAAATTTTACTACTCAGATATTGTAGCAGAGTCGGCTAAAATTGTCCTCCATACTGACATTATATCTACATTCACATCTAGAAGCAAGAAAGACAAAAAGCGAAAAAGGACATAAAAATCTTAAGTTTAATAACTTGTCTTCGTCGATCACCATCCTTTGGACAATCTCTGTCTGCTTATGTGGGGTAATTTTGATCTGTTTCACCCCAGAAATCACAGTATCCTCTTCCAGGTTATTCTTCAATTTCTCATCCACAGAACTGGATGATTCAATGGAACTGGAAGCTTCTTCAAAAGTGTCGTCTTCGTACGTAGCTTTCTGTTCCTCTTTGAGAGAAACTTCTCTCATAGAAATGTCCTTGTTTATGGTATTTGTTTGTTCGGTGACAATTTCACTCTTTTCTTCGCTCGTCTTGATAACTTCTTCTATCGTCGACTCAGCGTAATTCGATAATAGGACGCTGTCTTCGGCCGCTATTACTTCCGGTTCGTTTGATCTTTCACTGCTTTTTCTAAAGGACGTCTCATTTACGGATTTAATCGCTTCAGAAATTATTTCAGAATCGTCCGAACGCCGGGAAAACACTGTAGCGACTGAAAAATAGTCATTGCTCCTTGGGGAGTCCCCAGATCCTATCATGGGAATCTTAGCCTTGTATCTGGAATTAGTCTCTAAGTTTGAGAGACTCTTAGGGAATTCTTTCGATCTTGAACGTTCACTTTTTTCCTGCATTTCGATGCTTACATCATTCTCTGTTATGGACCTTATTTTAGGAGATGTCTTAGGAGATTTCTTCGAAGTCGTACTGTCGTTAATTGAAGAAGATTCATCATTTTTTGCATCGATGAATGGAATCTTTACCTCCATCCTGAATTTTGGGGATATCTAAAGCATTAAAGCAGCATTAGACACAATTAAATAAAACAACTTTCCTGATTGTTTGAGGAACTAAATTTAATCAACATGAAACAAATATCATCACAAACTAGGTTAAAAATATCAAGTATAATAAAAATAATTCCCCTAAACAACAAGACATTGAAAATGATCCATCTGTATTGATCAATACCTTGGGTCTAATTTCCTTCTCTGCAGTAATTGGCAGAACTGATCTATCTTGTTTGCCATTCAAGACTTCAGACTTGACCTGCGAGCTTCTAGGAGAATTTTCCAATGAACTTTCAGTGCTGACATTACTCTGTATTCTTGTGCCTTCGTTGCGTTTTATGTTGTATTTCTTGTCCATTTCCTTCAGCCTCATGAGAGCAGCTGTCGCCCTCGAGTGCAACATTTTCCCCCTTTTTTAAAATTTTTTTTCTATTTTCTTTCAGATCCACCGACTCCTGCGGCCTGACTGGATCTTACTGGCTTTACTTGTAGATTTTAGGGCAGCACGACCAAAGTGAAGTGCGTCTGCTAAAGCCCGTTACCAAGGGAACAATTTGGTAAACAATATGCCCCTGAAACGTGATACATCCTCTGAAGGTGTTTCTCCAGGTGATAAGTGGTTACATCAACGAGGGCAAGAAACTATCTTTGATCCGGTTGGTTCATCGTGTTTTGTTCTATCTTCCACGTGGGCAAACAGAATATACATAGTACAAAATGAAATGCGAGGGAATGCCGTGTCTGTTTTATCGTCGTCTTTATATTTGCTGCAAACGTAACACGCAAAACGTAACACGTTGTTATGCAAATACTGGTTTAGTTTCATTGCCAAACCTACTTGCAGTTACATAATCTCTCGAACGATATGTGTATGATAAGTAATTGTCCAACGCTTACTTTGCAACATAATTACACAAGTGTCGAGCAAAACTGTGGAATTCCATCGAATTTGTCAGTATAAAGTACTGAAAAAAGAATTAACATCGGTTGAAAAAAATATTTATTTTAATTCTTATCCAATTAATCTAATATAATTATTTTGCAGTTCTATTATAACTTTGATTTACGTACAGGGCTCTTCTAGAGTACAAAATACAATACAAGATTTTTGATCGCATTAGACGCATTTAGATGCATTTTAAATTCCTAAAGTGATGCTGTTCATTTTCGAGACTTTAGTAAGTTAAAGTGTTCTTGAAAACATACATCTGTAATTAAAAAATTAACAAATATAAAATAAAAATTCAGAAAAGATACATCTATGGTTAAAAAATTAAAAAATTTAAAAGATAAACGATTCTTCTGCCAGGATATGCACGCAGTTCACATTTTATTCACATAAAATATAAAAAAATTGACATAACATTGGACACATATAAATGAAAATATCACAAGGAATTCTGAAGATTTCGTTTCAATTGAATAAAATTCTTAAGAATTTAATTTTATTTACAAATAATGGTCATCTGACCAATAAAAGTGTCCCGCTAAATTGCTATCTTCTACTATATCGACAATAGATAAAATGAAGTATGTTATCGGTGACGTGCAGCGTGACAACTGCCACGGTGCGGCGCCTTGTTGGTTAAGCGTGGTCAGCTATGATTGGTCCTCGCACCGCAGCCAATCAGCATCCTCCATCTGTCTACCCCAACAGCAGCTAATTCACCAACCACGTCCACGATTCGGGCATTATTGGCTAGTACGTCGCAGAGTAAGGATCACCGTCGACCGGACTTTCGTTGTCCCGGCGTCTAAAAATGCGGTTCTTCAGCTCGTTTTGCCTTCTATTGGCGGTCACGCTCGCCACTGCAGAAATCTACTTCGAGGAGAAATTCCTCGACGGTGAGTAAACGCCAGACTTCGGACTTTTTTTTCTCATCGGTAACTTCATTTCCATTCTCCGCATGTCGAAACCTCTCCGGGGTGAGTAAATTCCCGGACCGAAGTAAGCAATGTAGAACAATTAACGGGACGTCTCTCTTCGTGTTTTCTCCGGGGAAAAAAAACCACACCCATTGTTTTCACAATAAGACAGCTGCATCGGCAGAATGGAAAAGTTTTGGGATCTTAGCGGGCGGTAAATTTCTAGAAAAATCTGAACTGAACTCACAGATACGAAGAGAGTGCGGACAGTGTAGTTTCGCCTTGGTAACCACACACCGCCCCTGCCTCGATCGTTCTCTACAACTGCCGTGCTACTCGTCTACGCGTCCGTGTTTCTGCATAATTAATACTTGATTTCATGATCGAGCCGTCGTAGAATTGTTTACGATGCCATATGCCACGGTGATAGGATTGGAGTCGCCGTGAACGTGCCACGAGAATCGTCTCGTGACGAGGGCCATAGAGCAATCTACGGCCTGCGTTCAGCCGACATGACGCGTAATCGATTGGTCGATCTGTGTTGGAACGATTGCGAGAAAAACACAACCAGCGAACTATCCCGAGAAAAACGTGTTACCAGCAACACGATCGTGCGAGAGCATCCTCATAATTATGACCCGACCGGGCGATTCTATGCAAGAGATTGGGCACGTCGAAGACGTAGAAGTAAATTTCGACGAATGCCTTCGTTCTCGATTGAATCGCGTTTGATATATACACAGGTTTGTTTAATTACCGACCGAGCATGAGTAAACAATCGGCGCGAGGCCATCCCACATGTAAAAATAAATGAAGTTTGAACACGTCCAATTAGAAATTGGTTCGATTAGAATACAGATATATATATTTGATAAACTTTTAAAATTCGATTCTCTCGGTGAACAAATTTTATTTTCCATTTTCGACCTGCGTTCCACGTGGAATAACTTTCAGACAATTGTTTCCGTCTCGTCTAGAATTAGCCAAGTTCAGTTCCTCATATTTTAACCCGTTTTCAAACTCGATTTTCTCGAGGAGGAAGCCAAAGTTTCATTTTACATTTTCAAATTCTCCGCGTGGGATCGCCCATTCCCTTATTTGCATCATAATTACTGGGGCATCCCTGTTCGATTGATATTATTGTAAGATTATTTGCATACATGATAGCCAAGATATCGATTTTTATTCAATGTTAACGACATCTAGATTATTATCTGATTATCGATTAAATTCGATATTGAGTCTGATAAAGTATAAACGTCGAGATTCTTAAAATTATTATCGTACAATATTTGGTAATTACTTGGTACGCGACGATTTTGTCTCGACATTTTTAATATGTTAGAAGATTTTTAAAAAAATTTTCTAAATGTAAATTCCTTACAGATTCCTGGGAGAAGAATTGGGTGTACTCTGAACATTCTGGAAAGGAATTTGGAAAGTTTGTTTTAAGTCACGGAAAATTCTGGAATGATCCAGAAAATGACAAAGGTAAACAAGAGAAACTTGTATAAATATTTATGCTGCGCGTATAATACAATAAAACAATTGATACAATAATTCCTCTCACTTGCACGCAGGTATCCAAACATCACAAGATGCCAGATTCTATGCCTTGAGCAGAAAGTTTAAACCGTTCAGCAATAAAGACAAAACACTTGTTATCCAATTTACTGTTAAGCATGAACAAAACATTGATTGTGGCGGTGGATATGTAAAAATATTCGACTGCTCATTGGATCAGAAAGACATGCACGGTGACAGTCCATATCAGATTATGTTTGGTAAGAATCTTCAACTGTTTCAATGTTACTTTTATTATAGAAACCCGAGCCTAGAGTCACCGGTTATGTCATTCTATGGCATGTTGGTGCTAATGGATCTCGGAGAGCAAATTCTCGCTTATGCCCTGAATATAGTAATCATACATATTTCAGGCACTCGTAAAGAGACATTAACCTTTTCATTAATTAGATACTGATAAAAGAAAATGATATATCAGATATAGCGAATATTGAACAGTATTTTCCGAGGTTACTTTTTCTCCGTCTGTTACAAAAATACATGCGTGAAATGTATTTGGCAGAAATCCAAGGAACATGATCATTGCTAAATGTGATGCTTCTTTATAGGACCTGATATTTGTGGACCTACTACGAAGAAAGTTCACGCGATCTTCAGCTATAAGGGCAAAAACCGTTTGATTAACAAGGAGATTCGCTGCAAAGATGACATATATACTCACTTGTACACCTTGATTGTTAAGCCTGACAATACATACAAAGTAAGGGAGTAGAACGATCTATAAACTTGTAGAAATACGTATCGAGCCTAGAGTCACATGTTCTCATTGATCTGTGGAGAATAAGTGCTAGAGGATCTCGAAGAGTAATGATTATCTTGTTCGTAAAGTGTATATAAGTCACGTTGCTTATTTACGATAGTAACAAAGAACGATATTCCACTATCTATATACTATACGTATTTATACACTCGTAATTAGTAGTTTTCCTTCTATTTAAATACTTGTATTCGTGTCCCTATAGGTTCTAATTGATAACGAAGAAGTAGAATCTGGTGAACTAGAAGCGGATTGGGACTTTCTTCCACCAAAGAAGATCAGAGATCCATCCCAGAGCAAACCTGAAGATTGGGATGATAAGGCCACTATTCCTGATCCAGATGACCAGAAACCAGAAGATTGGGAGAAACCAGAGCATATTCCCGATCCCGAGGCTACTAAACCCGAAGATTGGGACGATGAAATGGACGGAGAATGGGAAGCTCCAATGATCGATAATCCTGAATATAAGGTTAGTTGTACTAAAGTTAGTTATAATGAACAAATTAGTTAACTTGAAATCTACATATAAACTGATTTCCTTATGTTCTTCAGGGTGAATGGAAACCGAAACAAATTGACAATCCAAATTATAAAGGACCCTGGATTCATCCAGAGATTGATAATCCCGAATACACGGCTGATCCAGAATTGTACAAATTTGACGAAATTTGCGCTCTCGGTTTTGACCTCTGGCAAGTGAAATCTGGGACAATTTTCGATAATGTACTGATCACTGATGACCCCGAAGTCGCCCGTAAATTTGGCGAAGAAGTTTGGAAGCCTACTTTGGTAAGTGAAAAGAAAAAATGTTATATTTAACTTGAATAGGAACAATATGATGTTAAAGGCGTTGCTGATTTCAATGAACGATAAAAAGCTGGAATTCCTCGTTGCTGAAGTTACATTGTTACAATTATTGTGATTTCACGTATACGGTTACATAGATTTATTTCAAGGTCGTATGTGTGTTGTAGGAAGGTGAGAAAAAGATGAAGGAGGTTCAAGATGAGGAGGAAAGAAAACAGAGACAAAAGGAGAGCAAAGAAAATGAAGATAACAAGGATGATGACGAGGACGAAGACGTGGATGAAGAAGATAACAGTGTCCCTGATGCTGAAGTAAGTTTACTTTTAAAAAACATTGAAAACCTCTTCGCCCTTAATTCTCATGATGATTCTATTTAGCTCTGATTTGAACTGATTGATAAAATGGCTGGAATTCCTCGTTGCTGAATATAAAATCGGGCATTCTCCCATTTTTTAAAAAAGAATTTTAATTGTATTACTAAAATTTATTTATTTATTTATTTTTCCAGGAACACGACGAATTGTAAATAATGTGTTGTGATCGACACGAACACAGACTATATTCCAGGAGCTGTGTGGCCGCGACACGCACTAACTTTCCACAAAAATACACGTAAAAATCGTAGCAACAAGAAAAAGAGAAACTAACCATTGCCACAAAACAAACGGATCCTTTCTCATCAAATGAAACTCTACGGAAAAAGAAACAGATAGTTATTGGATTCGTGGAAGATCTGTGAGTCTCCAATAAAAGTCTTTTCATTTTTCTCTAATCGAAACGCGGTTTCATCTTCGTAACTTCAATTTTCTAACCTAGTCTTCAGTCGTTCGATCGTGTTCTGTGAAATTCATCGGTGTAAGGTTATTGCCCTGAGTGTCAAAGGAAAGAAATCAAAGTGCTCATTACGTGCTACTGCAATACGTCATATGGACGTAATTTGCGTATATATATATATATATATGATGTATATATACATATATATATATCGTATAGAGTCATCTTGCCCCGTATCTCTCCCTCCCCCTCCCATGGCACAGCTCCACGAAAAGACTCTAAGTTGTTTCGTTTTTGTTTGTCAAGTGTTTTTATATACAATTGAAAGATAATTGAGATGTAATTTAATGATACTATATTATATATATATAAATATATATATATATATTATATATTATTTCAATTTCCGTACAGTGTACGCGCGTATTAAGAAGCTCGCTCCAGTTAAAATGTAAGAATGATTGGATGTGTGCAGACATGACTGAATGAAATATAAATATAAATATGATTGGTATGATTATGTATTAAATGCAAAAATCAAGTAACCGATGTAATAAAATAAATAAGACTTTTCTAGACGTGCCCAAGCCGTTTATTAACGCCTTTCGATTAACACGGCTATATTATTATATGATAGTTACATCATATCAAATGCAGTAAGCTAGACAACCTCGAACATTATCACAATTGTTGAATTAATTAAGGAAGTTATTCGCGGAATGTACAATACGTAATTTGCAAAGAAAATTACAGGCTATATAAGTACGTAAAATACAGAGAAATTTGAATTTCTTCATTGCAATCTCATTCATTCTATAAAAGCAGGATTGCGATTTACGAATTTTACGATATGGTAGGTATTGTGTATAAGGTTTCGTGAGCGCCTAATTGTTGGGTTAACCAATCGAGACCTTGCGTAGAACCACAAGCATTTGTAACTAAAGACGAGCCCTGTATGTGCCACGCCCGACCACAACATAATTTTTGCAAACATAAGATATCGGTTAATTCTTCGACACTGGCGCAACCAGTGATGTCCTATGAAGAATGGAGAAAAAAAATTAGACCGAAAATTTTATTAATAAAATGAATTAGAAGTTTATGAATATATCGTAAAGATAGTATTTTGTAAAATAATTACCTGCTTATTAGCGTATATAAGGAATAAGGCGTCTTTTAATTCGCGTTCATTTATGATTTTTGATAATTCATTTTGAGCTTCTTCGAATCTAGATCTGTCACTGGCATCAACGACAAAAATCACTGCCTGTGTGTTGTGATAGTAATGTTTCCACAGTGGTCTAAACTTCTGTTGGCCACCAACGTCCCACAAAGTGAATACCAAATTTTTGTACTCCAGACTTTCTACGTTGAAGCCAATCGTAGGGATTGGCGGTCCGGAAAGCGTAATGCCTCTCATGGCTGATAGAATGCTCGTTTTCCCAGCACCGTCCAATCCCAAGATCACCACGCGCATGTCGATCTTCGTACCAATATGTACCCTGTTGTCCTATAAATTGTATTGAGAATTAGTTTTTGTAGAAATTAATTATGCACATTCCGTACATCAATAAACACACTTACACGGCTGAATATTATAGGTATAGAGGATTCAGGTGTGAGAAAATCCGGACCAAGTTGAGCATAATGTTGTTGCTGCTGTTCCAATGTAGTTAACACTTCTTTAACTTTCGTCGCGCTGTTCAGTAACTTCCAATCTTCGGAATCCAAGATACTTTCGCATTGGATGCACACATCCGCCACTTGAGACCTAGTAGTAGTCAAATCCTGTTGTTGCTGTCTCAGAGCGCACAATCTTCCACGCGTTTCTGTTTCGATGCAGGAGATAGCTGCGTTTTCTTGCTCAGCCAACAAGGTTCTTAATTCCTCAAAATGCTGACGCACTCGTTGCCTTGCATCTTCTATTGCCCATCCTTCTAACTCTTGTATCACCGTTTCTAACAACGAGAATTTATATACAGATTTACAGGTCGAATTTCTTAATTGACAACAATTATAATTTTCAATAAGAAACTGAAAGATTCGAAAAAAAAGCGTTAGAATAAGGAGAGCAAACATGCCTATTCTGTGTGCTGTATCTCTCATACTTTCCATAAACTGCGTCATTTTCTGCAGAGCAGTGACAATAGATTTTCTAATATTCTCTGCCTCAACTTCCACCAAAGCTAGCTATAATTAAAACAGATGGTAGAATATTGATCGCTAATTATAAGTAATTTTTGTTACCTTATGTGTGCTATGTCTACCGTAATCCTTGCACAAATAACACATAAGGGAATTGTGGCAGCCTTCTTGAGTGCAAGTAAATTCAGCCACATGCGTTGTATGCACCGGACACTTTGGTTTTTCTTTTGGCTTCTCTGACAAAGGTACACGTTTGTGTTTGCTTAAAGTCTTTGAAGAATGAATGATACTGTCACAATTCTCACACAAGTGGGTCATACAAATAGTGCAATATAATACTGCTGTATGAGCTTCGTCCTCATCACAAGTCTGATTGGATTGAAGTCTCTCTCTTTCGAGTATTGATAATTTCTCACTATTGGACTGTTCCAATCTCTCTAGCAATTCAATCAGGGCAAAATTCTTTTTTAAATTGCAGATATTGTTTTGACTAATGCCCGTTGGTTGTCTATCGAAGGGACACAGTAAAAACTGCTGGTCAGTCATACAAGGTCTTAATCGTAAAAGGCATGAATGACACACTGTGTGACCACAATGCAGTAATCTTGGTACTTTTACTCCATCAATGGTAAATACTTCTTCGCAAACACGGCACTCCAATACCTAAAAATTAATATTTTTCAAGATTAGAAATTTCAAATAGTTTAGTTAAATTTGATGTATTAAACAAACTTAACTTACATTTGTTCTTACAATAGGTTTCAGAGTTTGTTTAAAGTATTTGCTCAGATGATCCAAATTGTCAGTCATGATAATTTCTGTATTGAGACTAAAAATGTATGAAAAAATTATCAACAGTTATACAATAATAGAAATTCATGTAGATTCTCCATGTTACAAATAAGTTTCAGGTTAGAGTGTTCTCATATACATATATGTATAAAACTATAAAAAAATGTTACATACTCCTGTTGGCTATAAATTGTAGTCAATGATATATAAAATCACAGTAGACATGCTCAATATAAAACATCTTTTTAAGTATAAATAAAATGTTACATTAGGATAGACTTTAATCAATAATAACATGTCATTATTACATATAATAACATGTTAATATGTAGTAAAATTACATTATAATTTTACATAAATATAGAAGTTTAAAATATTTTTTATATTTTATTGTTCAATTATGTAATAAGAAATGATTGTTTCAAAACATTTGATTGTGTCATTAGTAAATACAAATGATGCAACATTGCCTTGATGTATAATTAACTACAGGTTAAAGGAATCTGATCAATTATTTAGAAAGGAAACAAAAATTTATCAGTATTAATATATTGAGTGATAAATTACAAGTTACAATGTCTTGTACTTGTATTTTATATTTTTTTTCGAATTCATAAAATTTTCTTTTCAAAATTTCTTTTCCCATGTAAAAAGAAATTTATTAATGTTAATAATAATTGATTCAGAATTAAAATTGTAAAATTTACGAATAGTAATTAACTTAAAATGCAAGGGAACCTGAAAATTCTACTTCAGCTTGAGACAAATAAGTATATTTAACGGTACCAGAATTTCGTAACATTTAAAGTTCGCGCCAAAAATATTAGGCCACGTTTACAATTTACGATACATCAAGGCTAATATACAATTATACTTTATATGAATTTATTTTTATTGCTTGTTACGTATTCAATAAAATAAATTACTTTGCAGTTGATGAACTACTAAAATTTCATTTTTGATTAAACTTCAAATTTATGAAACAAACATTAAAACAAATATTTCTGAAATTGTAAAATTAACGTCAACCGAGATCTAGGGTTATAATGAAACAGTATGATAATAACGATAGAAATAACTAAAATGATACATGTGAACGCGCTTTAAACTTATAGAAACCAGCCAATCTATTGCCATATTGTTTTGGATAATTTCGTGGGATCGAACACGCAATACGCGATTGCAAATATGTCGGCTCTTAGATCGGTCTTACGGCGATTCACCAGATCTTTTAAAACTTCCTCTGCAAGGAGAAGCGACGAGCACGATCCAGAAGGTTTTCCTGGTGCAGTAAGTCAAAAACAATAAACTATGGTTCATTACATAATGAAGTTCGACTTGATAATTTTCGAAATAGATTGGTCGAATTCATTTGAAACATTAAATATTTCTTCCTTCCCTATTTCTTGACAGTAATTTAAGTTATCATATTTTCTTTTTACGCAGAATGTTCCTTTTGACATCACCAATAAATACAAGCTTGCCGCACTTTTCACTGTCTACACTGCAAGTGGACTTGCAGTACCTTTTGCTGTACTTCATTACCATTTGCATCTTAAGTAATATGTGTAAGTTTTATCAGTCTACAGCCTCTGTTAAGTATTTTAATTTAAATTTAAATTCATCTTGTTATTTTTCAGGTATTACAGTATTAACATTAGTACATTAGTAAAAAGAAAAATGTAACAAAGACTTGTAATGATAAAAGCTAACTCTGAAATATTGTTTAATAAAGTTACCGTGCTAACAGTTTGCAATGCAATGTAAAGAGAATTCATTCGTTTCATTATCATGAAAATGACCGATGCATATTCAATCGATTCAATTACTGCTACTTTAATAGATACTTTTTAATCACGTGAATAGACATAATTGAACCATATTCAATTAAAAAAATGAAGGATAATTCCCCCATTACGTAAAAAAAAAAATCCAATGAAAAACGTACTTATGTAACTTGTTTCAGATATCACGTGTCATAAAAATGTTGTCGCATATATAATTTCAACAAGTACAACGTTGCACGTTTTATTTCGTACAATAAACGTTTGCGCGGCGTACATTAAATTGACGCGCTCAACTCTGACCTTTGAATATCTATTATCTTCAGCTATTATCTAACTTACTAGATATTATTATCCTTCAAGGACACGCCTACGTTCAGATCAATTTACGTATAACAAGTAGCTATCAATACGCAGTTTCATAAGTGGGAATTCATGCATTACGCTCTCCTTTCAATTTCGGCTCTATGTGCGAGTTTCTTTCTTTATTTCGTGCACATGAGTACCAGCCTTGAGTTAATTTCTGCTAACCGGAAAGGACCTAGCACCGTATCGTTGTCGGAATCATCTTCTGAATTTTCAAATTACATTTATTTATGGGTATAACAACACTATCATTATCGTCTAACTCATTGACAAGTATATCACCCGGACAATCTGATGCTTCATCCATGCAAAGTTCAGTCAATTAATAATCTAATATTTTTTATAAAATATTGAGTTTAACGATTTTATTAAAAATATTTCACAAAAGCAGGAAAGGTATTTGATAGATTGTACAGAATTCTAATTCAGAGTTGACTAAATAACAGAAGAAAGGAAAAAGCGGGAGAGATCTCCCAATTCGATCATGGAGCGACTTACTAGCTCAAAATCGGGGGGGAGGGGAGGAGGGGATCACGCTGCGATTTACTTCGAAGAGATCTCCCCATTCGATTTAGCAATCTGTTAAGATAAGGTGTCATCATTCACATAAGGGCAATATTACTATAAATAAACTAACGCTCAACTGAGCTTACGCACTACAAGCACGTGTATTCTGCTTAGAAAAATACGAATTTTAGATGCACATTCATAATTCTTTCTGGTGTCACGTGCACGCAAGCAAAAGTTCGAATACGATCAAATTGTGCTCACAAACAGTGAACACGAGGGAAGGGAACAAATTTTTGAGAAAAAAAAGTACAATTTTAGCTCAGAATCACTAACAAACTCAGATTCATCAAATAGAAGCTGATAGTGGTCGATTCTTGCCACAGACATTTGGCTAACTTAAAAAGAGGGGAGGCGCGATTATTGAAGCGACACTCCTTTTAGAGATATATATCTCCTATAGCAAGCTGCGCTGCTTAACCCGAGCTGCAGTGACCGTGGAAAATATTGAACTAGTATTTGAATGACGCTCACTGCGGGGATGCGGCACCAAATCAAGCCATTATCTTCTGCATCGTGGTCGCCGGTCGTAGAGAGAGACATTGAATCGGAATTGGAATGAGATAGTGAAGTTAGTACGCGCAAGACCCGCAGCGTCGTTAGACGCCGAGACGTCGGGGACGTCACACTAACGTAGCGGTTAGACTCGTCATCCGCAGCACCATGTATCAAAAATTGAGCTTCGAGGTCGAGTATCTCACTGAACAACATCTAACCGGCTTCGAGAGCTATAAAGTAAGTTTCCCGGCTGGCTGGACGTTTCACTTTTCTCTTTTCCGAAGATTTATTTAATGTTTCTTGGTCTGAAGGGTTATGTCTTGGGCATGGTGGAGACTCTAATCTGGAGTTTCCTCCAAGAACCAAACATGGAATTATTGTTATCTGTTGTAAATTTGCAAAAATATTGTATTATCAGCTATGAAATGTGTTTACTTGAGTGATAAAATGTTTTAACTGTAGATATTTCTATGATAAGAATAGTAAGAACATTGATAATTATGAATGTTCACAGTTTTGTGAATAAGTAATTTGAAAATAAATAACAAAGAGTAAAATCAGAATGAAATTCCTTTGCACATTACTATGAGAATTTTGCTTCGGATGTTTTTGCATTTCTAAATTCAGCATTCATATGAACATCCATGTGACTTCAATGAGTTCTTGAAAACAAATGCATGAATTAAAACCAAGGTAATTTTAAATGTGAGATTTAAAATACAGTATGTTATGTAATATGCATTGAATGATGTTGCATTATCTCGGAATTATGAGTTGGATATAATAGAAGTCTTCGAAGTTTTTTAGTAAATATTTTATTGATTTATATTTTCAGTACAGTTCAGTGGATACAAACCCTCTCAGTGTATATGTTATGCATCCATTTTGGAACAAAGTGGTTCAGGTATGTGTGTGAAAATTTTATAATTGCTCGTTTAATTTTTTCTGTCAATTCGATATTTTTTTCAGTACTGTCCAAAATGGGTTGCTCCGAATGTATTAACTTTCTTTGGATTCCTCTTTACTGTCTTCAACTTCACATTGTTTGCGTTTTATGATTACTATTTGTATGCATCGAGCGATGATAAACCACAGTATCCACCTATACCAAGATGGGTCTTTGCCTTGGGTGTATTTAACGTATTTATGGCATATACCCTTGGTGAGTAAATATTTTTTATATCCCTTATGAATTTGTAAAGTCATTGGACTTAATGCAATGTTTATTTTGCAGATGGTATTGATGGAAAACAAGCACGACGTACTCAAACATCAGGGCCCTTAGGAGAATTATTTGATCATGGACTAGACAGTTGGACAACAATGCTCATTAGTGTCTGTATGTTTTCTGTGTTTGGTCGAACGGATCATAGCGTGTCTCCATTAAGAATGTACTTTATTTTATGGAACGTGTTTATTAGTTTCTACTTGACTCACTGGGAAAAGTATAACACAGGGGTATTATTTCTTCCTTGGGGATATGATCTATCTATGGTAGTAAGTTTCCATTCATTTAAGATGTATATTAAATTATTAATAAATAGACTGTAAATTTTTATGCACTTACAGAACATTTGGAGGTACACGTAATATACATAAAAATATACGAAATATCCAAATAATGCTCCTTATAACACTCATTTTTGAAATTATCTTTGTAAAAATATACAGTTAATTAACACTCATTTTTGAAATTATCTTTCTAAAAATATACAGTTAATTAACACTCATTTTGAAATTATTTTTGTAAAAATATACAGTTGCATAAAGATTCGCAGTCCACTGATAAATAATTTATATGATTTATCCCCTAATTTATTTCTAGGGCACTATTGTTGTCTTTATCATATCTAGTATAGGCGGACATAAAGCATGGAAATTTGTATTCCCCGGCGGTATACCTGTTGGTGTAATATTTGAAATATTGCTTTATGTTACTGCAATTGTATCTAGTTTACCGGTGGTTCTCTGGAATATATACAAGTTAGTCCAATTGAATTGAAGTTGAACTCAGATTTTTCCATCATGAGATTTCCACGTAATAAAATATATTTTGTGATTTCTAGATCGTATAGGGACAAGACTGGTAAAATGCGTACGTTCCTAGATGCCATAAGACCTCTGTTACCTCTAGCGGTACTCTTCGCGATTTCAACAATTTGGGTAGTTCATTCGCCTAGCAACATCATCGAGAAAGATCCTAGAATAGTTTTCTTAGCAATTGGAACTATCTTTTCGAATATCTGTGTAAGATAGTTGACTAAATAACTAAAACAGAATCATTTTGATGATGGAAACTAATGTTCTCTAAAATTTTGCAGTGTCGTTTAATTGTTTCACAAATGAGCAACACTAGATGTGAACTATTACCATGGATATTACTACCCGTCGCGGTTATAGCCATTTTCTCATTTATCTTGCCTAGTGTAGATCTGATATTTACGTATATCCTTGCCATCGTAGCTTTACTGGCCCACATTCACTATGGAACATGTGTGGTAAGATTTATTTTAATATTTTTTAAGTAAGATATTTTATGATACAGATATTATTATTAATAAATTATTCACTCCTCCAGGTACGTCAAATGTGTCGTCATTTTCGTATTCACACGTTCCGTATCAAAGATCGTGCAGACTGACTACTTGCCGACGATACATGTTAAAAACGAAGAAATACGAACAAACAGTCGGGAAGAGCTACGAACGAGTGAGAATAGATCAGACAGACAGACAGTAAAAAAATTTCAGGATCACCATTGATTATAAAAAGAAAGAATGTTTGGGCTATGAAAACGTAAATGCTGGACAGTAGATAATAACAGTTTTATTCGAGCATATAATCAGCGATCATCACATACCCAGAGAGAGAAAGTACCTGCTAAGTAACGTTCTCTATTTATTTTGCAAAGACAAAAGCATTTCATGTTGCTGTGATATAGTTAAAGACCTACAGTCTTGCTTTGCGTATATGTAAATGTGAAATAAGTTCGCATCATTCTTTCTACCTTGACTTTTTTTTTGTATTCTGTTCGTAACCCTGACTGTGCGTAGAATATTTATTTTCGAGTATACGCGAGGCTTCTAGCTGTTGCGCATTGAATTTTTCGTTTTTAACGTGTATTGTCTGAGAAACGAGATTACAAATCTAACTTGCTTAGTTTTCTCACGAGACGAAATGTTCTCTTTTTCTTTGGTGCCGAGTTTCTTTGAAATCTATCGAAGCCTATACGGTGACTTTTCTTTCGTTTCGAGTGATTGCTGGAGAAAAAGATTTTCGCTGTGCGTGAAAATTCTAAGCAAGCTGGTGTATAATGAATTTTGATACGGATAAAGAAGGAAATATGTAATGCCGGAGAGGGCATATTTGTAATAAGATACGTGCAAGAGACATTATTTATTTTCCGTGAGGATGCATGTGTATATTATATTATATTTATAGTGATCAGCTCGACTTGAAGGATTTTTGCAAATAGTATTGTGTATAATATACTTCGAGCTAGACTAAACAAGTCAATCAATTAAAGAAATTAGCTAATAACAGAGAAACTTTATGTTTCTATCATGGAACGAAAATTATTTAGTCAAAAGATACGAGAAATCGATAGATATTTAATTCTTCTTCTTTTATAAGATATGATATTTTATTATCGTATACTTAAGTTTTCAACGTGGGAAAAATGTATGACGTCAGTCAGAGATTAGAAATCATGTAATGATTAATTTTTTTTTTCTTCATAATTAACATCGATCGGTCATTACAATGTTTGCATAAAAGACGTGTCATCGATGACAATAGTAAATGGTGTAGAACGTTCGTGAAACGATTGTAAGATAAGGAACGATAGATGCTGGTATCCATTAATTCCCACGTTGTGCGAATAAAATATAAGTCAATGTAGAATAAATCAACGTATTAAAACGTGTATTGCCATAGGTTTCCGATAATTCTGTGCATTGAAACTCCATTATTATACGTTTTAAGTGAAAATATATTGAAGTTAAATTTTTTTTTTAATATGTTACTTGCATTTAATATGTTACTAGTCTGTTTTACATTCTCAATACATGTAATTTGATATAATGTAATTTTGTAAAAGAGAGAAAAAAGAAAGGTAAATCCAAGAATTCGTTCGAAATCTTAGGTAGACTCGAAAATGTTCATAGAAGTAACAAACTTTTTTGTAAACTTTACTATATGTACATACGTAGTTTCTGAAAGAAGAACGTAATGTAGGTGTAGTAATTCCGAAATGCTACATTTTTTAACTACCAAATATATTTATGAACATACATGTACAAATAGCACTTAACGAAAGCTACGTAACCTACTTTAATTAAAATATCCATGTGTAACTTTATTTTTTAGATATTTAATTTTTTTTTTTCTTTTATGTAACAATTATTAATAATTTTAATATTAATTGTTCGTATGTTTGTACTATTTATAACTCGTCGAGTATGATAGTGTATTAATTTCTTAAACATATATTTCTGCCAAAGATATTAAAACCGGAAATTTTACATTATTCAGATAAGTTATATGTATATTTTATTTATATATTTTTAATGTATTGATAATAGAATTAAATGCACAAAAGACAATTTAATCTGCATCAATTTAATCTGCCCGTAATTTAGATAATTACAAAAACAAGCGAAATACTTTACTGTATTTTAGAAATACATTTTTTCTGCATTTCAGAATTACGATGGAAATTAGTATAAACAAATAACATTTGTAAATTTACTATAAAAATGAGATAAAAACAGAATTATTTTTCTATTTGGATCGAAAGTACTCCTGTTTTATTTTCTCTCGTTCTTCAGGTAAAGGAACATAAGGTTTTATATTTTTCATCTTTCTATTGTGAATTATTTTTCCCTAAAACAATCGTGAAATATTTAAAAAATATTCTAGGACGATAATATTTGTATTCGATGAATATACATGAACGATTACCCAAATTTTTTTGCAAAGTTTGTAGTTTTCGAACTGTAGAGAGCATTTATCATAATCGTATCTATTCCTTTCTAGACATTTTGCACTAATATTATATTCCTGAAAAAATAAAAAACAAAATATATACAATTTTCAATATCGTTGAAGTTAATTTGTAATAAACTTTGAAGATAATAGATGAACTATTGCAATTTATATATTTGTTTAATTCTGTTACAAACTGACCTCTAAGTCTTTTATTTTTTTAAATTAAATTTTTGTACTAAAAAATATTTTTATCAAAGAAAAGTTGAGGTTATATAACCTCAAAGAATTAAAATCATACCTGAAAACAAGGATTGATTAACTCTTGATTTTGCGTGAGTTTTTCCTTTAATGTCGATATTTGCTTTTTATTACGAGTATCTGAAACACTCATTATATTTTCTTAGAATAAAAGTTTTGTTGAACAAAAACAAGCTTGATGTGCCCAAACTCTATAATCAAGTTTAACAAGTTTTATTGAAATGATAATTGTTATTTTGTAAAATGATAATTGAAACTTTCTAATTTATTTAAGAAAGTAAAAATTTAAATGAAAAAGTAGAATAAAAAAAATGCAAGTTCAATCAAATATCAATTACAATTATTTTCTTATATATTTCTTTGTTAATTATGTATGTACATATATATATATACAAAATGAATTCTATGATGCATACAATCTTATAAATGAATAATCTTCAATGATTTTAAATCCTGTTTTATTTTTTAAATTCTCTCATTATTATGAAGATATCTAAATACGATAAAATGAGATTATAACTTTAAACAAATAGCCTTCATTTGTCGTTTTAAAAATAGGCAATAAATTCTAAATTTATGATAAATGGTGGCTACTTGTTCTTAAAGTCTAGTATTAAAATATTCGGTTTCCAAACTCCATAGAATAGGAGAATACATTTCTCTTCTGCGATTCATGGAAGGATGATTAAATTAATTCCTGGAACTTAAACAATACATAATACAAACCTACAAGCAGAAACAATGAAATTTGATGTCATTAATTTACAATACTTTTTTTTATTCCAAATGCTTATAAATTACGACGACGTTCCACTCCACTCATAGTCAATGAGCATTGAAAGAGATCAACCTATATTTTGTACATAACCATGTCTATAACTTCTCAAAATTTACAACATTCCTTTTCAGAATCTACTGTTTTGTGTATTAAGTTGAACGAATTTTAAAAATAGAAAAGGGAGAATAATAATGTTAATTGCAGGTACAGGAACACTATACTGATAGGAGTACAGTGCGCTATTTGTATCAAGTGTATTTAAATATCGTCGGGTCGCAGCTGAAAGCAATATTTCATATATAAAAAAAAAATTTAAAAATTAACACTTAAATGTTAAGTTAGTATGTTAACTAACCAAGTTTATGTATTTTCAAAATTCTGTTGCACCTTTTGCCATTTTGCAACCATACTAGAGACTTCTTTATGTTTTTTACTAATACCAATTCTCGTCTGAAATCACAATATATATAAGATGTAATTTCTTTTTAATCTGCAGTCAAATCAATCTTGCTTCTTTTATGCAAACATCTTACCCTCTTTCTCTTCTTTTCTTTCACAGCAGCTTCAACAGGAACAGGCTCTTGCTCTATTTCAATTTTAACTTCTTCCGTTGGTAAAGAAGATGGTTCTACTATTGCAGTGTCCTGTCTCTGAGGGGCTTTCTCCATCCCAACATTTTCTATTCGTGCGATGTCGCTGTAAAATGAATCTAACGCGGACACCAAAGACTCTTTCGCTGTTTTAACCGGTGGCTTTTCGATAACCTTATGATTCGTATATATCGGAGTATAGTCAGGTATTAGCTGTATCGCAGGCTGCACATTGTGCTTATGTGGAAGTACTAAGGCCGCTGGCTATTTGACAACAAACACAACAGGATTAATTACGGAAGTGATTGATTGAATGATATTAGTTATGTTTGATAACACACAGCGTGTAAGTGTTGATATGCTGGATATTGAAGATAGTGTTCTTGTACTATGGCTGGATGACTTAGAATAGGAACTGTTGGATCTCTTGCAGCTGCGTCGTAGAGCGCACCACCCTGTGATTGCACCGCGCCATAAATAATTCTCTTCAAAGCAGGTATTTCGTAAGGTGCTTCCGTCAAATCTACACCCGGTGGCAGAGGTTCCGCACTGGTTACATTTGCGAGATTGGCAGGCTGAGGCGACAGCAAGGCAGAGGATGGCGCAACAGAATTTTCTAGCTGTTTCATTTCCACAATCGCTGTCCCCTCTGCGAAAGAATATGTAAATTCAAATTAAGCATGCGAAGGAGAAACGTTCGTTTAATAAAAATATCCACCGTCTCCAAGTCGTTGTTTCTTCTCATCCAACTTCTCGTTACACTTGTCTTGTTTCCTCTTGTCCCTCTTCAAATCCTCCGCGTAAATTCTAGGCGGCGGAGGCGGGCTTGGATTTGAAATTTGGGGTGGAGGTGGAGCCTCTATGTCACTGTTCCTTGGAATCGTCATGTCCTCAGTTGTCTCTCCACCCTCCGATTTCTTTGTCTTTGATCTCAGTCCTTCTTCTTCTACTGTTGAACACCGTTATTCAATAGGTGTATTTTGGTAATTTAATTTATCAAGTGATAAAAAATTTCGCCATACCAGGGATAACTATCTCTTCTTGCTCCGTTGGAGGAGGCGTGGAGCAAATTTCCATCTCTTCGGCTCCACCGGCGATGCCAGTGTCCGGATAGGTCCATTGTGTAATTCCAGTGGTAGTGTTCTGGTAATAATATCGCTTATGCGACCTGGAAAAAAGCCCCACGGAGGGATATAGGACAATGACGAATAAGAGTCACTTACTTGCATGGTTTTTCTTTCTTTACATTGATAAAACGTTTGCTTACGGAGAGACATTACTCCATGAAAGGAACATACACTCCCGAGTTTTGAAGCGACTTATCAACTAGGAAACAAAAAGTTAATACTCCTACCTGCAGCTCGGCGTGCCATTAAGTCAGCGAGACCCTTTTATTATAAAAGGATTTAAGTGTTACTTAGCGCTTACATAGAAGGCGATGTCTTCCAAAAACACGAACATTGAGAATTACGTCGACAATATCTGCGTTACGCTAGCGAAATATTAAGCGAATTGATTATGCGTGTAACTAAGGGCGCAAGGGCCAGGAGGATGACTTTCGAAAATACGTAACGACGTGCACTCGTTGCAGAGAAAACCAAGGGGAACACGCCTTTCGATAGTCACATTTTAACAAATTTGTTGTTCAAATATGAGAACACAACTTTCCATGGAATGTATATTTTTTTTTCTTTTTTAACAAGAAGAAACAAATAACGTATAAACGTGACATTAAAAATATAATGCAAGAAAAAGAAAACTTTGTACGAGATATATGTTACGATTGTCTATAAATATCGTTACTTTGATGCTCGACTAATAGCTTTGTGTACAAGCTCGTTCCAATAACTCGATATAATCTGATCGATGTGCAGTTTCTTTGGGATCCTAGTTCTTCTGTGTAATTTCATCCGAAAAGAACTTGAGTCAACTTTATGCAAACTTTATTAACACTTAACGTTTTCTTCCAGCAATCTTGTTCTTTTTCACCTATCCCTTCAAGTTATCAAGCCTTTTTGAACATCCACATAATTTAATGTCTTTTTCAAATAGTTCTTAGCCTCTAACGGGTGGTCTCAGCCATTAGATTCTGTTTAATACAGTTTCTATCTTTCCATTTTGCCGAAGTGAGTCTCTGATTCTGTTCATGTTAGAAGTTCAGTTCTTGAAGTGTTCAAATATGCTGGATGATATAATCTTCATGCTTTAAATCACTAAACGATGTTTCTAACATCTGTTAACTCTTCCACATATACTCTTTGTTCATAATTTTAGATAACGCACATACGGTCTCTGAAGCTCCACTTCAAACACAGACCTATCTTTTTATTATTGTTTAAGGTAACGCGGCATTTTTTGTACACAATTACGTAGAAATTTTAAATAAATTTAAGTTTGATTCAAATATTGTCCCTTAAGGGACGTAATTAATGATCCTAAAAACTTTGTAAAGAATTTCATAATGTTTTACTCTGAAATTGATAAAATCAAATTGATTAAGTCTCTTAATTGTTTTCTCCTATTAAAGATATAACAATTCTTTTTTTTTTTGTAACTTGCAAGACTGATAAATAATTCGAAAAAATACTTTGTTTTTTGAATTCAACTCGCGGAAAAAAAATAATTCTAAACAAAAAAAAAAAAAAAACTTGAAATTCGTTATTACGATCAAATTTGCTTGTTTTGCTGCAATGATACGTGCAAAGATTACATGACTTGAAGATTTTTAGAATAATGACGTGTATAATATACACGATGTTTTGTATGGTACGATTCATGTTTATTTGTATGAAATAGTACACAAATTTTAGATGGTATACTATACCTATCCCACTGACATAGCCATCCGGGTGGTGCTGCATCTTGTTCCAAACGTTCCAATTCGTGACTGGTGTCACTCAACCATCTACGCAAGTAACTTTTTTCTAAACAACCCGCTTCCCACGCGACAAACAACGTCTGCAACATAATAAACAACACATTGTCGATTATTTATCAAACTTACGTTTATAACGGTGCAAAAAGGAATTTTATTTACTTGTAGCTGAATAGACATCAGTTGAACTGGCGATACACTTGGTTTCCCTTCCGACAGAAACTTCAGTTTCTCAAGTATGATCTGGGCGAGTAGATTAACCTCTCTTTCATCTTCCTTGGACTCAGCATCCGCATCTGGTGTGTTTGTTTCTTCCTCCGTATTGTTCGATTCATCTTTGCAAGTTGGAATATTTTCTTCCGCATTCTCGTTCACTGTGCTCGTTTCTTCCTGCTGATCAGCTTGAGTTTCGTTAAGATGCTCATCACAAGAGCTCATTTCATCCCGTTGCGTCTCTACTTCCATTTTACTCGTTTCATCGTTATTTGTTTTCATTTTCGTAGATGGAACTGAAAGAGATAAGAGTCGTTTTAATTTAATTCCGATTACAGTCATCGATTCATAAAATTTTCTTACCATCGAAAGCAATACGTTTTTTCCTCTGGAAAAATTTATTTCGACCATGTGAATTATCGACAAATTTGTTTCCCTTCTGCGTATCTTCCTCTGTTTTAGCAGTCGAGTCGTCTTTACATTCCAATCTTTCCAAAATATCTTCATTGTCTTGTTCTTGCACAGTTTTTCTTTCGCTATTAATTTCACTGTCGTTACTGTTTGCTACGTGATCGTCGTCAATTGTATTTTTGCGCGATGACACATTTTCCGCGGTTTCTTCGATTTGGGGAATTGGAAATAGGGCTTTTCTCTCCTGTTTCTCTCCGGATTCTTCCTCAACATCAGAATCTTCGTCGTAACCAGGCACCAAAGAAATACGAAAGTCCACGTCAGAATTAATGCTATGTTTATTACTGTTCTTTTTTGGTACGGATTCTTTTGTCAATCGGCTGTCGCTTTTAGCTTTATCCATACAGTCAGCCCTTTGAACTGTATCTTGCTTGATTTGGTTTTTTAAGTACTTTGTCTCTGTATCTTCGGCTGGTTTCAAGTCTGCCGATTCTATTATCGATTCTTCTTTGCTTTCATACATCTGATTTAGATTCTGAGAAATTGGTAACAACTGTGTTTGCATCATAGGAATCGGCGCTGACGACTTTTCAGAACATCTTGATTTTGGCGTTTTATTCGCACTTTTCACTGATGAAGATTCTTTCGTATCGTTTTTTGACCGATTCTCATCTGCTGTGTCCGAATCACTTTCATCACTCCCGTAGGATGTGATCATTTCTATTTTCCTAAATCATTAAATTATTTTTTTCTAAGACTAAACAGAGAGAGATTTAAAAAAATATTAATATCTTAGGGTTATACCCATCATCGGAATCGTTGTCCATTGTATCAGATGTATTTGCAGTGTCTTGATCAGTTTGGGACTCTTGTTTCTGCACGGTCTCATTGCAGATGTACCTATTACGATTTCGAGCGACTACTTCCCGTGGAATCATACCTTCTGGTATATTTTCATGAGATTGTTGATCTAAAAGAATCCCACACAATCAGTTGGAGAACTCACATCATTTACAAAACAAATAAAAATTCTGCGAGATATAATTACATATGACAGACGAGAAATCAACCCAATGAGACTCTTGCGTTGGTTTTACCACAGAGCTGGTTTTAACATTGTTTTTTAAGTACCGTAGTTCATCTGGCATTTCCCATGTTACCTCATTAGTTTCAATATGCCAATAGTAAGGATAACCTGAAGATTCATCTAAACATTCTCTCCACACTAAAATGATATTTGTTATTCATTAATGAAGTTTTGCAAGATTTCTTCTATAAATTGCAAAATCTGATACAATCTTACTGAGTGCCTGTTGATTTATGTGATGTGCTAAGCGATTATTGGAGTTTACTGTTAGAATAACATTATTAGATTCGTTTGAGACTGGCTGCTTGGGTGCAATCAGCTGAATTTCCTACAAAATTCCAAATATCCTATATGTTTTTAAATATTTTCTTAAAACCTGCAATCTTGGAAGAGTTTACTTACTTTAAAAAAATTATTTACTTGATCGTCTAATTTGCAATCCTTCTTTGAATCTTCAGTATCACTATCTGAATTGTAATGACAAAGTAAATTTGCTAGTGGATTTGCAGGTACATTCTGTCCGGGATAATCGTTACTTATATGTTTGTGTTTATCTAAAAAATGCAATGAAAAGACACATTGTACAAAATTTTAATCTATGTACAAGATTTCATTAACAATCTTCTCTTGATAAAATTGAATGTAAACTACACAATATTACTGTAATATACATTCAATTGCATGCGCTGTTGCAACAGTTTAGAAAGAGACATAATAATAATAACAATTTTTTGAACATATGTCCTTACTTTGTAAATGTTCCCCATAAGAACCTGGTTGCGACTGATTAAGTTCTAAAACAGGCCTTCTTTGACGCCGCTTCATAATAAAACATAAGTTATATATGTTATAGATAATAAAAATATCTGGAAATGTGAAAATTAAATTAGTAGAATATTAATATCATATTCAGTTGCTTGCTAAGTCAACACAAATTTGTACGGCAAATTTTACGTACACTTAAAATGAAAATGTATTTCCTTATAAACAATGCGCAAGAGTCATTCATAACCTCTAAATATAGACATATATATACATGTACATAGATAAATAATTACAACGTGTTAGAAGGAAGTAGAAATTGAACACTTCAATGATAATCACGAAGCGTACAAAAATACAATACTGTATACTTCACACATGTCTTAAAAAAACTTCTAAAAAATGTTAGACATTGCAAAAACGAGGTTATGTTGAACTATAATCAGAAGTTCATGTTCTTCACATTCAATGGCTCATCAACTCCTCTCATCGATCACTAAATCATTCATCGCTAGTTATACAAACTACAGGATAATTTGGCTACCTAGAGCGCCACCTAAATGGTTTCCTCTTCTACATCAGTATAGAACGTAGTTGCGGGAAATTTAAAATTATCCGTCCGTTTCTACATGGAATTCCTTTTTATTCGAAGTAATATCGCTAAGAAAATATAAATTCTTTTGTTTATATAAATGTTTAATTACACTACTAACAATCATTCTATAAATACAAAACATGAAAACCAAAGAATGAAAAATAAGAATGAAATCCTTGAGTTTAAGGGATTCGATCACGAGTGCAATTACTTATAACATATTTATTTATAATGCTTTAGTAATATATTCCTTACTGTAGACATATATTTATACCATATGGCAGCATAGTAATATGACATTGTATAATATACTGTGAGGTGACTGACAGAACGATTCATATTTTTAATTCTCTTTGTTCTCTGGTCAAACACCGACACTGCAATCGTATTTCATCCCATTCATACTCCACTCATTCGTACGTATTTCACACACGCGTATGCTCATTAAAGTTGTTCCAGCTTCGCGGTACGCGTGTCCAGGATTCTTCTTTTTTCCTCTAGTAACTCGCATTCCGTTGTACATCCTCGATCGCGAATCGATCGACGCTGGAACTCAAAATGGCGTACGCGAAAAAATCGTATTTCATGATCTTGTAATCCTCATTTACGCGTTACATTCGCCGTCGTTTTAGTTAATACGTCGTCAGGCTAATGAGCGCGTCGCAGTGCGCGCGCGTATACCGACCCCAAGTGCGAACCGGCACGATTAGTCGATAGTTGATGATCGCAACCAAGGTATCTACATATGTATACGTATATTATATGCAGCTCGTTTACTATGCTTCGTAACATTATCTCATACTTACTCAGCTAGTTAAAATATCAATGTACATTATAATATACTCTAATAACGATAATGCAACATCGTTAATTTATTATGCTTTGCAACTTAGAAAAATAGTCCTGGCTAGGCGTGGCCGCGTCCCGTGATACCTTGCAATTGTCATTCTATGAATTTTCTCTTCGGAAGATCGATATCGATCTTCCTAGGGAATTTGTTCTTCCAGGATGTGATTTAAGCACCTGATGGTCGTACCAATATATAGATAATATATCTCTATCCAGCAGTTGGCGAAACTGTGTCGTTATTCCCTAAAAGAATAATTCCTTAGAATAACTAAAAATGAAAGAAAAATATTAAATTAAAATTTACATTTGATTTTCACTGTTTTTTTTTTTTTTTTCAGATAATTCTGTAGTTTTTGCTGATGCAAATTTTGACCAGATATTAAATGTAGTGAAAATGAAATCTAAAGCAATGAATTGTGGAATGTAATTATGGGCTCACGACTGAGGAAAATATCCTAGAAGATCATCTAATTGACTAGATTTCTTAGGGTCTCCATAATTTAGAAGCAAGAATTTCTTCTAAATTGTGAAAAAATGTTCCTATACTTTCCATTACGAACTCTATTGATCTTCCGAATTATTTTCCCCAGGCGAATAACGGTGAATTACCTTGGTGAATCAAAGATGACAAACATTCGAACAGAACGATGTCGGGTAATTACAAATATCTGACTAAACAAGCTCACCGGGTAATTGTTTGTTAATAAGTCAATTATTTATTGTTACCTTTCAGCAATTAAACGAACGTTTAGCAAGAGCACGCGATGCGGTCACGGCACAATAAAATCTATTAAAAACAATCAACGGAACAACGGTAGTACTACCTCTCTGAAATTGTCACGCTCTACTATATGCCTACTGTTGATTTATAATTTGATCGACGATCGCGCAACACCATCGATCCTCCATCTTGAATTAGTGTGGACTTAACACTGACTAAATTATCACCGGAATCGGTGACGTTAGGACCCCGTTTTTTACAATTTTCTTCTTTCTCTTTTTCATACACTCGCGCGATATTTATCTTCTCGCTATCAAGTATCATTCTTTAACGCGCAGGCTGCCAACCTGTGATCGACAGTTGAAGAAGCGACCACAATAGAAAACATCGTATACTCAATATTCCCTAGATCTAGAATTCTACCTCTAGTAACTATTTATATCTCGTCGAGAATGATAAAATTACGCGTTTCTTCTTCTTCTTTTTTTCTTTTTTTTTTTAGTAATTTGAAGTATTTCGTTGCCTCGAAATTAATCAAATTATTATTATTATTTCTTGTTATTAGCGTTATCGGTCAAGTTGACAGCCTGCGTCATGAAATGAAATAAAAGAAAAAAAAAAAAAAAAAGCGCGGCCTCCAGCTTAACCGATTCCTGGTCAATTAGTAACTAATCAATCCTTCTCACTCGAACCACGTCATTAATATATTTCATGTTCATTATTCAATATACGTGATATCTAATAACGCCGAGGGATTCCCCCATATGATTCCATTTTCCCCTAGACTCTGTACACTTGCTTGCACTGCAAAACGCAAATGAGAAAATCGGAATTGATCGTTGTAATCGGGTGTTTGAGTGAGAAGGATATATCTTTTTTTGCTCCGATACTTCATCACGGGCACTACTATTGATAATCATTTGAATTGTTAATAAACAGTCATCGAGATCGAATACGCCACGACGCAATAAATCTTCTTTCACAAACAATGGAAAACAAAACACTATAGCCAAGCACGATGGGTGAAAAAGTGCCTTAAAGTATACGTATTATTATTATTATTACTATTATTATTATTATTAGTATAATATTAATTATTATTATTATTATTAATTATTAGCAATTCGAACGCACACATCGTTATTCATTTATTTATTTTAATATTATCGTTATCGATATTACTATTAATATTATTATCGTTACCATTATTTTTATCATTACAGTTTATTTAGAACGACATAAAAAAGTCAGTCCTCGAAAGCAGAAATTCCATTTTCACCCGTCGTACCTGGCTGGCGTAACACCGTAACTCTACGGCCACGGTGTGAACATACCGAACGAACGTAACACATTCAGACGAAAAAAACAAACCTCTCATCCATTGTATAATGACTCTTTCTCATATCTTATCCCTAGATAATTTCTTTCCTTTTCTCGTGGGAACGTTCGTTACGACGCGGACCTCAAAGCGACACTCGGACAAACGAATAACGCGTGATACGCGAAAACAGCGAAGAATACGAATATCCTATAATAACCCTCTAACTACAAAGAATTCCCATAATTGATCTAAAATTCAGTTATATTGCAGGAAATTCTATCTCGGTTTTTTTTTCTTTTTTTTTTTTTTTGGGGGGGTGTTGAAGTTGCTACACTCGTCATTCGCGTACTGTGCATCCGTACACTTTCTCGGAATGCGTCCGGCTTGGCCGAAAGAACAAAATGTTATTAGACTCTAGTGACATTTTTTTTTTTTTTTTTTTTATCTGGAGGATCACCGTGCTAAACGATAAGTACGTACTTCACTGTGAACTTCAGAGTGAATCCTCTGTTGAAAAGTGAGGAATCTGCAATAAGTTTCATGGGGATTTTTAACAATTGAAAGAATATCCCTAGACGAGGAGGAAAACTCCAGAAAAAGCCGAACGCATTTACAATTGACATTGTCACACACAAAAACGTATTTTCAATCTACTTTCTCATTCCCGACGCTATCTGTTATGTTCACACTCTTGTCGGTGCCTTATTTCTTCTTCTTTTTTTATTTTTTTTTATTTTTCTCATAGTTGATCTTTTTCTGGTTCGCATGAGCGGTCAATCGGCGTCTTTAGTAAAAGCGCGCCGCGACGCGCACTTATTATAATTGTAATTAATTATATCCACACGCTACTATATATTCTTCAATATATATATATATGTATATATTCAATATATATACATATATATATTCAATATATATATATATATATCTACTTGCTTGTTATAGCGATCAACGGATAGTTGTTTCTTCTTCTCTCTCATTTTTTTTATATGTATAATTTTCTTCTTTCTTGTTTTATGTATACATATATATATATATATCTCCCTCCTCCTCTTTCTCTCTTTCTCTTTTGCCCATTCATTCATACTTTTAGCCACACATTCGTTATTTCGGATCGTTCAGCAGCTTCGATCGCGGGATCGACTGATCGAAATTCGAGTTCGAGTGGAATTTATTCTAACGCTTCTAAGTCGCTTCTATTTTTTGTCTTTTTGTTGTTGTTGTTGTTTGCGCAAATACTGATACAACACTCATCCATTTGTTCGCATCACTGTCTTATCTTTTCCCTCCTTCTCTCATTTCTGTCTATTCTGGCTATTTCTCTCTTCTTTCTAAAATTAGTATTTATATACGTTCTATAGTTTCTCGGTAATTATACTTCATTCACATTCTCTCACTCGCCACCTTTCAGACTTACTGCTTTCGTTTAGTGTTTTCTCTCCGTCGTTCTGTCTTCTAGCCCTTCTACACACATACACACACGTATTCATACATGCACATAATATTCACTCATACGCAACGCGCTCGATGCACTCGATTTTGTAAATATATTTATAGACTTAGAATTTTCAATTCTCTTGGCGATTTCGTCGCCTGGCTTCTTTCTATCGCCTCATCGTTCTTGATGATTCCTTCATTTATACACAGACACGTATACACACCCTCGTTTCTCATTCACGTCCATTCATCCCTGCAACTGCTTATCAATCATTCTTTACAGATGTTGAAAGCATTGAAGAAGTTGATTGCACAATCGATTACATCTAACAAGAACACAAACGCTAGTGTTTGAAAGGTTTCCTGGAGTTTCTCGTTAACTCTGTCATCGAGTTGATCTTTCGTCAAATTAAACCATTGCACTGCGATGGATCTTATCGATACATGTTAACTTTGTAACAACCGGTCACAGCATTGAAACGTCTACGTTTACTCTCTCTCTTCTATGATAATATCTTACGTGTAACAGTAACTGATGTGCAACAAACTTGTCCAATCGATGGTGTATGATACAACAAGTGAATTGCAATTATTGTTACTCATCCACTCATCCATGTCTCTGTTCACAGAGAATGTGTTGTCACAGGCTCTTCTCTAAGCATTTCTATTCTTCCTCTCTCTCTCTCTCTCTCTCTCTCTCTCTCTCTCTCTTCATGTGACAGTGATTGATATTGTGTAATGGAGATCCGATGATCCAAGCCTCGATTATTATGTACACACATAGAGACTCCTATATGAAATATCAATTTGTACAAATCATAATAGAAAACGAACAGAAGAAAGAATGTTAAAAAATCGTCGATCAAAACATTTGGAATCAATTAAAACTCAGTCATCTGTTGAAATTACAAATTCAACTGCGATTCAGTTGTATCCGCTTAAAGTATTGTACTTTAATAATTAGTACTTAACTCTTCTTCCTCTTCTTCTTCTTCTTCTTCTTCTTCTTCTTTTTTTTCAACGTTATTCCTATTCCTCTTCTTCTTCCTCCGTCTTTTTTTTTCTTGTTTGTTTCATTTTTTTCTTTTACGAAGTTTCTTGATAATTATCGTTCTAGGTTATTCTTATCAGTCGTGATTATTGTCAAACAATCTGAAAGCAATAGGAGCTGTTTCGATAAACGATACCAGAAGAAAAGAAACCTTCACCCTCGTGCGAAAGGGTCGGTTAATTGTCGCTCGTTCGCGCCTAAAAAATCCCTTTTGTGAATAAAAAGTGTCAGTGGCTCCGGCGGGGGAATCGCGAGAAAATGAGGAAAGAATCGGACCGAGTCTGATAATACTGTAAGACGTGGGTAGAAGAATCGCTCTGACTATGAAAATAATTCGTCGATGGGCCTTGATGACGGAATATGTATCTTGATTTATGAAAATACGAGGTCAGAAGATGGATATGTTCGAAGAACCGAATGATTCGATGAGCTGCATCAGATCATTTCCCTTTATTATTGTCGAGAACTCTGAGCCGACGACTGAACTACGATTAAAATGAAAATTGAGAAAGATATAGATGATACAGTCGGGCCGGGGATTTTTGATTGACAAATTGAACAATACTTCGATAAATATTAAATGGCTGTTCATCTTCATTAATATTAAATAATATTGCTCTCTTGCTGACGACGAAGATTAGATATTTCGTACGTTTTCGCTTGTTGTTTGCACAAAAGTCCCCAGACCGAGGATCACAAATTGTATCACGAGTTCCTCAACTGACTTTGTCAAATATAATAATGAAACAAAACCCTGCGTTACGTCGTAAAACTTTTGAGATTTAAACGAGAAGGTCTCGCGATAATTAAGGAAAATGGAAGAATTTCAGGGTGCACGTTAGTGTTATCTAAATACATTTTTTTTTTTTATAGGATGGGGGGGGGAGAGGCTAGGTCGAAGCTGCGTACTAATCCTAAAAAGCATGTTTCTCATTTGTCTCGAAACGCGGCTCGTTCCCTATCAATTATTTAGAGGCCCTCTTATTTCTTCTCTTCATTTGTTTCGAGTCTCAAATTGGACAATACTCTTTTTCTTTTCACTCATTCGCTCTCTCTCTCTCTCTCTCTCACACACACACACACTCGCTCCTCCTCTGTCTAAGTACACCAGTGAACCTTATGAATTTTTCTCTTCTTCTTTTTCTTTTTGTTCTCGTAGGCCCATCTTTCTACCACAGAAACAAAAGGATCTCTTCTTTCTCTATGATATGTAGGACGATGAAAGCTTTAGGGTAAAACCTACGATCTAATTATGCCCCTGCTCGATGGAAGGATGGAAACGATCAAGCGTCGTTGATCGATGGATCCCTTTTAAAATCAAACTTTCCAAACTCTGTGGGCCCTCTCACTCTGACTCTAACTTTGTCACTGTCAGACCCGCAGATGCTCGTGCGTTCTAAAATTTTTATAAACTGAAACAACAAACTCAAATACTCTATAGTTTGGATTTTCCTGTATTTTCATGAACTTTTTTTGCACCTTTTACGTGTGCATTAAAATCCTCCCAGATCGGTCTACTTGTTATCATTATTTTGTAAAAACAACGATTCGAATCTTGTTCTCAAGTCTACCAACTAGACAAAGAAATCATTCCTCACCGGGAGGAAACGAAAAGAAGAAATCTGGACTGCAGATATCTGTGTCCAAGTTCACATTTTTACGAGTACAATTAAAAATTGTACTTGTACTATATTTTCGCGTACGTTACGTATTAAAATTTTCCACATTTGACTAAAATGGCAGGAAAATCCACAGTGCACTGATGATTGCTAAGAAAAAGTCGGCTTCCACCCAACGAAGGAGGGCCCACACCCTACTGGCCAACATTTCTGAATCCATACCCGTCTAATTCTCCCCCTTCGCGTCGGATAGAATGAACTCTGATTTGAGATATGTGTCCGCGGCTATTCCCTGGAGATAAGTGTACCGTCTACGTACAATTTCACATAATTACACAAGAAGCCTATATACTCTTCTGGAGAGATAAGCTACAATTATGCACGGTCGCGTACCTCAGTTCCGGGGCCCTCGCGCCTCTCAACGGCCTTCAAAACTGTACACCATGGATCAGAGAGAATATATAACCTGGCCCCAGGACAGCCAGCTTCGACCCTGGTACGCGTATGTTTTCTGTATACGTGTTTATATATATATATATACTATATACTTTATCCTTCCATTTCTTTTTTTTTTTTTTATCCGAATAGAATTGTGTCGCGCGCAACCGTGACCAAAAGACCAAGTCCAAAACACGTGACGAACGAGACTTTACTTATTTACAGGCTTCGCTGATCTCTCCTAACCTTACTTCTACGCATCGTGGTATCTTCTTCCTCCTTCTCTTTCGATCGAGAAGAGAAACGTTACCTGAAGAAATCCCCCGAGATGTGGGGGGGCAGCTGAGGAAACGACAGAAGAACGCGTGTTACATCTGGTTCTTCCTGCTCGTTTCCCTTTCTTCTATCTTTCTCTTCTCTTCTTCGTTCTCTCCAATTGAAACTCGTCGCCCTGACCTACTCATCTTTCGACGCGTACAACTGTCTCGCTTCAGTTTTTTTTTTTTTTTTTTTTTTTGTTTTTCCTTCTGAAACAGATCGAACTCGACTATTGGGCCAGCTACTTTTAACTATCCGCGGTGTGGCTGCTCCGTTTCGTTTTCTTCTTGCTCTTGCTTTCTTCTTTTGCTGCTTTGGAGTCGTTGAGCATGCAACGGGAGTGTTGTGAAGTTCGTCGTTTCTACGTCTACGTCTTCGTGGCGAACGACGGGGCTCGAGGAATTCGAATTGTTCTTCTCTTCTTTTTCTTTCGTCTTTCTACTCTCTCTCTCTCTCTCTCTCTCTCTCTCTCTCTCTCTCTCTCTCTAAGGTTCGCGCTTTCTCAGACCTCTCTCCAGGATCCTACCGCTCGTTGAAGATCATCATCGTCTAGGAAGGACGAAGGAAGAACAACATAAATCGTAGCCAAGCCAAGTTTATGATTTTTCTTTTTCGCGAATCGTCCCGAGGTTCAACCTTGCACGAGAGCTGCCCCCCTCCCTCCCCCCTCTACTTTTAACCTCCGCTCTTCTTTCTTAGGATCTGCTCTACAGTTTCTGAATAAGCTATTCGTCGAAGGGCTCGGGTACATTTAGAATCAGACTTTGGCTTTCCACTTCTTCTTCTTCGTTGTAGCGACATGTTCTGCTGTAGCGACTGACGTTCGAAAATCTGACCGCCTGAATCAATCGACGCGAAGGACGACTTTCGAACCGAATTGGAATTCAAACAACCTAGCTCTAGCTTCTGAGGCAAGCAACGTGCGAATGAAGTCGAGGAAATGAACGACTGAAGAGGGAAATCACGTGTCGAGATGCGGCGAACATTGAACGATCCCGAATGAACCTCGCGACGATTCGAGGACTACTATTTGACGGGACAGAGCTTATTAGAAACAACATGACCGACGAGCTACTTTTAAGTTTGCAATCGTGGAAAGAATCGACAGCTATACTCGTTCGTTCGTTCGTCTCCTCTTCGTCTTTTCTCTCTCTCTCTCTCTCTCTCTCTTTTTTGTCAATTTTCTTCTTTTTTCTTTAAAAAATTTCTCTCCCTCTGGGCGCGACGATCGCACCCCCACTGGTACTAATTATTCTCTGCATCTAAATCATAGAAAAATCATTGGAAAAAACACCCATTTTCTCTCTCTCTCTCTCTCTCTCTCTCTCTCACACACACACACACACACACACACATACATTATTTTTTTTGCTTTTTTTTTTTAGAAACGTTTCAGTATGACAAACATGGTCCATCGTATATACGTAGTTCAATATATATGTTAGCGCTAGGATTCGACGATTTAAAAAGACCTGTATACGGGGGAATCGGAAACGACGCTGGTCATTCACGAGTCATTGAAGAAGTCACGCGCTGCTCCCATCTCCTCAAAATAATATATACCTTTTTTGTTGGAGAACTCCTCCCTCTTGTCTGAAATTGTGCGGAAAATTAGTTCTCAGAACCGTCGAATTCTTCTTCTTTGTCGAATGACTTGAGGACGAATCGGTGCTTGACTCTTCCTTTTTTGTTACATTTGGCGCCCGCTTCGTTGGGAAGAACAGCCAAAGGATGCCTCTTCTCCGCAGAGAATTTCAATTAAAAATCCTTTGTGCCTTTTCTTCCTTGTTCTTTTCTCTTCGTTTCTCTCGGGTTTCTTAGCTCGAAAGTAAGCCACCGAACAGTCCTCGAATACTCTTCAGTTTCTTCTTATTCGAAGTGCAAAGAGGAAGATCATTATCATTATTTCGAGTCGAAGGGTTTACGCTCGTTTTCTTCTTTTCTAATGAAAAAAAAAGTCGTTTTCGAGAATTCGACGACTCCGCTTCAGTGAATCGTGCACGCAGCGCGTACGAGCGCGACGGCCCTCTCTCTCTCTCTCTCTCTCTCTCTCCCCCTCTCTCCCAGAAGACCGGCGCGCCCCAGCAGGTTTATCAAAATAATATCGGCCTATAAAATATCGCGGGGGTCGTCGTAAAGAAGAATAAAATCGCTCGAAGATCGTGTGCCACGGTAGAAAATACAAGCCGCCGGGTTTCATTTTCAAGTTTCTCTTCTCATGGTCGCGCAGCGATGATCGTTCGATGAAACGCGACTGCGCAACTGAGAATCAGGTAATGCGAGCACAATAAAAAATTAGAGATTCTTATGTCGATATTACGTCGCCCCTTGCTGCTCCTCCTCCTCCTCCTACTTCTGCTTCCGTTTTCCTTTCACTCTCGCTACCTTCGTCTTCATCAACCTCTCTTCCAAAGTCACCAGAGTGGCTCTCGACCCTCTTCTTCTTCTTCATTTTCTCTTCCTAAGGAGTTTCGTTGTGAGATATCGAGATCAAATGTTCCTTTTTTTTTCTTCTTTTGGCAATCCTCCTTGGGTTCTGTTTCAAGCAATTCTCTCGCCGAGAGCAAAGAAGATAGAAAAGGAGAGATGGTCAGGGAGAAATGAGAGAGGTCGAGGCCACGAATCTGCGACGCAAAACTCTCTTCTTCTACGGCTCTTTGGATCAAGGGGTTCCCTCAATAACGATAACCACGCCTCTCGAGGGATCTCCAGGTTGTCGTACAAATGAACATCTTATTGCGTGTGAGTGTGACTTCTTCTTCGAAATGAAGCTTGGAATTGAACAAAAAAAA